TCGTGGTGGAGGTGAAATCCTTCCCCAGAGTGGAATGTATGGCCACAGCTCACGTTTCTGCACCATTTGCGAGAGTGGAGTTTTGATGTACCCAGAAACCTTGGACCCCCCACCGCGTCTACTTGTCTACTGCCAGGAGGCCACCTCCTTCCCTTTGGCCATGTTAGTGACTCTGGAGGCCTGTCTGCCACTGTAAATATCACAGTGGTATGAGAGAGGAGGCTCAGTAGATCTTAATGGAGGAAAGGACGTTCAAATATCTAAATGCTGCACCATCTTCCTTGATCTCTGTTTTAGCATCCTAGCATTCTAAGACAAATTGATTTAGGGTCTATGTGAAATTAGAGAAGGTTAAGGGATGACCTGATTGAAGTTTTCAAGATATTAATAGGAAAAGACAGAATAGGTAAAGATAAACTTTCCTCTGGTTGGGGGATTCTAGACCATTCTGGGGATCTGTTAGGAAGCACTTCTATGCGCACAGGGTGGAAGATGTTTGGAAGTCTCTTCCACAAATGGCAGTGGATGCTGGGTCAGTTGTTAATTTTAAATTTGGGAGAAATTTTTTTTGTTAAGCAAAGTTATTAGGGAACATGGGCCAAAGGCAGGTGTATATTGTTAGGCCACGATCTCATTGAACAGCAGAACAAACTTGAGGGGCTGAATGACCTACTCCTATTTCTAAAATGAGAGAAGATAGGTGGGTGAAATTTGCGAAGAATGCAGGCAAATGGTTACCACTGCATATAGAATCATGAACATTAAGTTGCAGGTATAAGACATTATTGGAGCTTAGTTGGCATCAACTGGGGTGAAATTTGCCAAGTACATGAACACTTCCTGGTTTCAGGAAACCAAAGAGGAGATATCAACTCCTATAGTGCGGCTACAAACACGAATACATTTTTACAGCTTATTGGGTCCAATTTTCCCTGTGGAGCCTCCAATCGGTAGAAGACCAAAGTTGGGTGAGAAAAGTTATTACAGTGTGGCTAGGAGCTGGACCCCACAAAGCACAGTCTGGACAATTGCTACAGGAGCTCCCTACCCCCCACTACCCTGTAATCATAAACCCCTCCACTCCACCATTGTAACTCAAGAACATACCTTCCCTCCTATGGGATTACACACTCGGCCCCAATTCAGCACACTGCCTGTTTGGGAGTAACAGGAAACCTGTTCGATTTAAAATGCAAGCCGGGTGCTCAAAGAGGTCTGGGACTGGCGCTACATCTCCCAGAGTAATTTTCAGCATGTCCCTTCAGCCCTGTGGACAAATGGTAATATATACTCTGCAGCATATGAAACATTCTTGAGTGCATTCCAACAATTTTGGAATTTGTGACAAAGGCTGTCTCCATGTTATTCTGTCATGGGTGTTTGTCTATCCATTTTGTGGTTGAAAATATATGTCCTCTTCCAACTTTGAAGTGCCAAAGGACCAGTAAATATTGACAGGAGACCTTGCATCATATGATAAAAGGAAAGGGATTAACAGTAGCTCTTGATTGTGTCTTTCTTAGCAAGGTTCCTTTCCCTGTTACATGCTGTTTACATCACAAAGACTATACTTGCTGACTCTATCACTGTCACTGCTCCCAGGGACTCAAAAGAAAACATTTAGAATAGAAATTCAGTTATAAAACTTATTGGCTGGTGACCAGCAGTCACCCAACCATTACCTTACAATCTATACCATTGCTTCTGTGCTTTTCGACTTAATTTGAATTCTTTGATTAATTGTTTCTATTGTCCAGCCCATCACAACACTGTCGACTTGCACCTTCCAAATATCACCCGTCCTTCATCTATCTGTTCATAAAACCCTCAGCCAAACTCTCATCAATTCCACATTCTGTTAATCTGATATGACGAACTTTGGCTGTTCACCATCCATAGACTGGAATCCCCCTAAAACTCTGCCACTTGTCTCCTAACGCACTGTAAGGCCCATTTACCAATCATGCCTGTGCATACTGACCTACAGTAGCTCTGAATCCAGCAACACTTCAAATTTAAAATTCTCATCTTTATGTTCAAAGCCCTCTCTTCTCTCAATCTCTTTAATTTCGTCAAGTCCTAAAACCTTCTGAACACTTTGTGTTTCTCCAGTGATGGCCTCTTCTGCCTCTCTGGCCTATTTCACACTGAGATTGATTGTTGTAAAACTTTGAGAATTTCCTCCCCAAACTTATTGAAATAATTAAACTAATTATTAAGCTATAACTGCCTGCCATTCTTATTCTGCTCATTTGCAATGCAGTCTCAGATGAATTTCTAATCTTGGATTTTTTAAAAAACAAACTTCTGTAACCATCTTTTTCTTGGAAAGATACTGTTATATGAGGGACATGGTAATGTCACTGAGTTAGTGCTTCAGAAGCCCAGCTTAACTGAAGAAGGGTCACTAGACTTGAAATGTTAACTCTGCTTTGATCCACAGATGCTATCAGACTTGCTGCATTTCTTGAATAATTTCTGTTTTTGTTTCAGATTTCCAGCATCTGCAGTTCTTTGTTTTATTATAGACCAAGCTAATTCTTTGGTGGGTGGGCAGGGTGTGGTGTGCCTTCAAATTCTACGACAGCAAATAGTGAAATGTAAGCTCAATTAATAAAAATTGAATTAAATGAATTTCAATTCATTTTAAAAAAAGCTCGTCTAATGCCGCAAACAGACCCATTCCTGATTGTCATAAAATCCCACCTAGTTCACTATTATCCTTTTCGGGAAAGAAATCTACCATTGTTACATGCATTGGTCTACAGCATTGTGATTAAATGCCCTCTGAATTGGCCTAGAAAGACACATGGTTGCAGTAAACCACAGCAAATTGGAACAAAACTGGACAGACCACTCAGCATCAACACAGAAACTGGATGTGACAGTGGTGAACCTAGTCCTTCCAATCTCCTTAATGACATCTCAGGCCGAAGCAAGCTGTCCCACAGACAAGTCAGGAAACAGCCTGGCACAGTCATACTCGCTGAATCATATCTTATAGCTAATATCCCAGACTCCATTATCATCATCTATGGTTATGTGCTGGCAGGGCAGAACAACCAGAGGTGGATGCATAGCGCTATGCAGTCATTTGGGAGTTGCCCTGGGAGTCCTCAACATTGACTCTGGACCCCATGATGTCTCATTTGATCAGATAGAAAATGGGCAAGAACACCTCTGATTACCAATCTTGGGTTCTTCTGATCTTCTTTTAAGCTCAGTCTGGACCTCAATATTTATTAACTACATATGTATGTATACAATGTATATATACAATACATATGTGGTCATATGGCAGTACAGCTCCCTGCTCCAAGCTGTTCTAGTCTCAATCTTTGAGTAGAGTCTCTATAAAATGACTACTGAGGTCACAGCTTTATCACAGCAAATGTCAGAGGCTAAGCTACATGTTCATTACATTCTATCTCTGTATCTTTCCCCATCTAAATTCTCAGTATCCAACATTATTAACTATTATCATTAACGTTTAACTGATGGTACTTCCATTTAACAAAATATACCTCTGGAGTTATTGCCTCTGAGTCTTCCCACCTCAAAGTTGTCCAACTTCACTCAAGCTGCTACTACCTTCTTCCCAAAATCCGAAAAATAGGATTCCCCTCGGAGGCCCATCATTTGAGCCTGTTCCTGTGTGACAACCTTTTTGTTCCTATCTCAATCTATTTGGCCTTCTTGTTCAGTCTTTTCCCACTTATATTTGTGATTCTTCTGATGCTTTACGTTGGTTTCACTGTTTCCAGTTTCTTGGTCATAGCTGCCTCTTCTTCACCATCAATGTGCAATCCCTCAACACATCCATCCACCATTAGGATCAACTGAAGGCTCTCTGCTTCTTCCTTGAAAGGAGGCCTGAATAGTCCCTATCCACCATCATCTCTCCTTCATTTGATCTAAGTTCGTTCTCACTTTGAACAACTTCTTCTTTAACATGGCTCATTGTCTCCAAATCAAAGTTATGGCTATGGATACCATCTTGGGTCCTAGCTATGACTATCTCTTTGTGGGACATTTCTTGCTCCAGTCCTACCCCAGCCCCCTCCCATGACTCTTTCTTTGATACATCAATGATGTTATTAGTGCTGCTTCCTGCTCTTATCTGGAATTGGAAAGGTTCATCAAGTTGTTTCCAATTTTCATCCCTCATCCACCTTCACCTGGATCATCTCTGACTCTTCTCTTCCCTTCCTAGACTTTGCTGTTTCTACTTCTGGGGATTTTGGGGGTGTAGATTATCCACTAATATCCATTGCAAACCCAAAGACTCACACAGTTTGACTTGCAAGTGGTCCTATGTTGTAGCTTCACCAGGTTGATACCTTTTCTTTAGGTATGTCTGATGCTGCTCCAGACAAGCCTACTACACTTTGTATTGAATCAGGATTGGTCCTTCAGCTTGAAGCTAGTGGTAAAGCAAGTGATGTACTGGGCCATGAGGTTGTAGATTGTGGTTGAATATAATTTTGCTGCTGCTATTAATCTATGGTGCCTTATGGATGCTCAGATTTGAGATGGTAAATGTATTGAAAATCTATCTTATTCAGGACATTAGCAATTCTACCCATCACTGTGGAAGGTATCTCTTTGCTGGTACATACTCAGTTGTTGAGTCATAACTCATTAGTCTTCATCAAAAGATGTTTTGTTTTTATTCATTCCTGGAATGTGGGCATCGCCAGCATTTATTGCCCATCCCTAGTTGCCCTTAGGATGGTGGTGATGAGCTGTTTGAGGCAACATCTTAACAATATCTTTTAAGCGCCCTAAAAATTTTACAATGGCCTTACCAAATTCTCATTTGTCATTCAGCATATGTCCTGCTTGCTAAAATGCGTGTAACAGTTCACAGACTCGCTGTTCATGTTCTTCTTTAGTAGCATGATGAATGAGTACATCTTCCTGTGGCAAATGATACCTTCCTTGTCTTGGAGGATATTGGACAGTGTGCGTGGGATAATTTCTGATGCTGAAGAAATGGCATGTGGATGTTGCTTGACACAATATTGACCAAAGGATTTGATAAATGTGACCAACATTCCTCGCGCTCAGGCAAGTGCCTTTTGCCAGAATCCACAGCTGGCACCTCATTGTATGGAAAAAAAAGCTCCTGGCCAATTTTGCTCAACTGCCCTCAATGGATGATATTAGATAGATTTCCCTGTGTACAGCTTTATGAGCTGCACTGAGTGAGCAGTCAACTGAGCCTCATCTCACCAGTTGATTCTCGCACTGCCAACAGTTGTGACCACCATCTTGCCAGTTCTGTGACCAGTGAAATTATTCCTAGATTTATCAACTTCTATGTCGAAGTCATCTGTCAATGAGTGCGCAACTCACCTCAGTGTGAACATGCAGATAGGTTTGCCAGCTGGAGCAGTGTCATGCACTCATCTATTTTCAGCTTTCTCAGCTTTTGGGACAATTTCATTCCAGGAGAGTTGGGGGTGGGGTAGTGATTCCTTTGGTGTGGTCTTGTATAACTTCACCAAGTTTCTGTAAAAGGCCCAACATTGAACACACACACACACAAAGACCCACTCACACACATACATATATACACACATATACACATATACACACACACTCACATACGTATACACACACACACACACATACATACACACACATACACACACATACACACACACAGTCATATACACACTCACACACATACATATACACACACACACACTCACACAAAGACCCACTCACACACATACATACACACGCACACACTAACGCAAACGTACATACACACGCACAATCACATGCACACTCACACACATACATTTATACACACACACATACACACAAACAGCAAAGATATTTGTTGATTTTGTAACATATAAAAGTTTTAGCAATTCTCTTGTCTTTATGTCAAAGAAATGGGGTAATCTGTCTCTTTGCTTCCCAGTCTAAAAATCCTGACATTTGTAACGTAATATTGAATGGCTGAATGCGAAATCTGAAAAACCATTCCAAATGGCCTGCTAAAACAGAGGTGCTGAAAAGATTCATTTAAGTATAAATTTGAAGAATTAATATTGTGCTGATGCTTCACTGTAACTGAGTGACTGTAAAGGATGATATTGGAAAAAAGGGTGGAATCCTCTTTTTGATATTTGTGTTAAGATCACTTATAACTTTGTTAATGTTTTGTGTCCAGTGACCCTTCTTCAGTAGGGCCTCAAAACATTGACTCTGTTTTCTCTTCACAGATGCTGCCAGACCTGCTGAGTTTCTCCAGCAATTTCCGTTTTTGTTTCTGATTTCCAGCATCCGCAGTTTTTTTTTAACACATTTTGATTTGTTTCTGTAAGATTAAAACTGGTGAGTTGTCCAGCCAGGTTTCTCTCTTTGAGGTCTGACTTCTCCAGTGCTACCATCAGCTGGGATTTGTAACTCTTGACCAGTAGTCTGGACATCCAGCCTAATGCTCTCAGAAAACATGTTCAAATCTGGTGAAATTTCAATCCAATTAATAAAATCTGGAAATTAAAGCTCGTTTCAATAATTACTTTTCATTCTGTTATGAGAGGTAGCTGCCACTGACAAGACCAGCATTTGTTGCCCATCCCAGAATACCATAGGGAACTGTTAAGAAACGCCATCATTACTGAAGGGTCTAACATTGCAAGTGGAGCAGACCAGCTCGGGATGATAGATTGGTGAACCAAATGGGTTTTTAATGATAATAATTATGTGGTCATTATTAAGATCGCTCTTAATTCCAGGTTTTATTGACTTCAGACTGCACCAGAGTGGGATTTGAAAACATGACCCTGGAACATTAGCCTTGGTTCTGCATTATTAGACCAATGACACTATCACTGCTTCACCACCTCCTCCTGAGTAATGACACCATGCAACTGCTATACTGTCCTTTTGGGAAGGAAATTGACCACCCTTACCCAGTCTATAATTTCAGATACACAAAAATATGATTGATTCTGAACTGGTCTCTGAAATGGCCTTGTAAGCCATTCAATTCAAGGACAATTAGGGATGCGCAAAAAATCCTGGCCATGCCAAAATCACCAACATCCCATGAAAGAATGAAAAAGAGCTTTCCTATGAACTGTGACCATAATTTGGAGAAAGCTGTATAGTTTGTTTTGCGTGCTCTTCTGAGTCAAGGCATCTTCAGCTCACAATCCAGCTCTGGGTGTCTGACTTAGTGAGCTATTAGACAGAGGCAATCGCAAAGAGGGATTTCCATTAGGTAGTTAAAGAGACAATTAGGATTATTAGTTTGGAATTTCTGAAAGTGGTCAGTGCCTGGTAACCTCTAACTGACATTTCCTTTTGCTCTGTCGCCCTCTTGAATTGTCCCATCCTGCTTCGCAACACACTAAGCTTTCCAGACTGGAGCCTCCGAGAATGCAAGGGAATCTACCACAAATTCTCTGACAAATCAGAAGATGATAGAGAATGGGAATCCCCGGACCATCAAACACAGGAAATCAGATGACCCCAGAGATTATGGGCCTTTCTATTATGTTGCAGGCACAAATGGAACTGATCTGTATGTATAAAAGTAAAGTTTCATTGCATATGTGGTTTAATTTTATACCACCTTTAATGAATATTATACTTCATGTAATTCCAACTCTTGATACTTTCTTGAAAAGCTGTAAAATAAGGATATATAATAGAGAGTTGGTGTCTTACAATCATACGAACCAAGAACAAAAGTAGGCCACTTGGCCCTTCGAGCCTCTTTCGCCAAACAATAAGACCATCACTGATCTGATTTTAATTTCAACTCTGAGAAAAAGGATGCCATTATTAGATTAGGCACTTTACAACCACCGAAGTCTCTCCACTGACTTCAACAGTTTGAGATCACAGACTCTACCCTCTTTTTATTTGTTTTTGACGGCAACTGTTGATAATGAATCTGCACTTTTTCATTTTTGCCTCTTTTAGACACATACTTTGACTGTTTTATTATCACAAGAACACAAGAAATAGAAGCTGTAGCATTCATTTGTTGAGACTGTTCTGCCATTTAATAAGATCATGGCTAATCTTTGCCTCAACTCCACTTTTCCACCTGCTCTCTATATCCCGTTTTTCACTGAGAAACTGATCATTTATATCCTTCCTAGCCTTAATTCAATGATAATGCACCTTTAACCCTCTAGGATAGAAAACTAAAAGATTCATGCAAAATTCCTTCTCATTCCTGGTCCTAAATAATCAATCCCTAATCCTGAGCCTGAATCTCTGCATTTGAGACTCTTTAATCAGCAGAAACAGTCTCTCAATGTCCAGCTCATTCAGAACATTTGTACGTTTTAATGTGTTCACTTCTTATTTACCTAAACACTAGTGAATATATGTCCAATTTACTCATCTTGGACAACCCAGGGACAAATTGAGTGAACCTTTACAGTAAGATCCTCCAATGCAAGTGTATCCTTTTGTAAATGTGGAGACAAAGCTGCACACAGCACTCTAGGTATGGTCTTACCGAAGCGCTGTAAAATTTTAGAAAGACATTTTTTCTTATTCCTATACTCCAATCCCTTTGTAATCATAGCCTACGTGCTTGCTGTACCTGCCTGCTGGATTTCTGTATTCCTTAAACGACACAGAATCCCAATCTGTTTCAACACCCACACTTAGAAATTTCACATCTCTTTTATCACTAAATTTCAGCAATGTCACCCCATCTCAGACCTTCCCTTTTCCTTCCATTCTCTTTCACTGCCTTTCACATTTCCATAAAATTGCTGCATCTCTGTCTGCACTTCAGATGAAAGGTTATTGACCAGAAGCATTTACTGTGTTTCACTTCCCACAGAGGCTGAAGCTTTCTCCAGCATTTTCTCATTATCTTTCAGATTATCAGCATCTGCGGTATTTCATGTTAGCTATTTCCACATTATTTTCATCTCTTAATGTCTTTCCATTAGCTCAGGTCCTTCCATTGGCTTAGGTTATCTGTACCAGTTTTTTGATCATTTGAACCATTATAATGCTGTTGTAACTCAAAATCTATCCGATTTTGTTTTGCACAAAAATGCGGAAGATTTAATACTAAGTAATGACAACAAATTTGAAAAATAAAATTTAAATCATATTTTGTGCTAAATGTTAAATGATTGATCTTAGTGGGCTCAGCATAGAAGTGGTTGATAAAGCCACAAAAGATTGATTGGCACTTGAGTGATCAGCTGCGGTGGGGCACGTGGGGGAGAATTCGGATTCAGAATTAATTGGGGGAACCTCAGGACAGGAAGTTACCCATCTGATACTAGCAAAGAGGGGCTTCAGGTGAGTGAAGAGATTGGAGAACTTGGGGCAGTTCTCCTCAAAACAGAGAATGTTAAATAAAGGTTTTCAAAATTTGACAGTGCAAGTAAGGGGAAATTGTTTCCTCTGTCAAGTGGGTCAACCAAAGGAGAAGGATCTAAAATGTTTGGCAAAATAGAGTGAGGAGATGTTGATTCATGCTAAGGGCTTTTATGATCAGAACAAACTAACTGAAATGCTAGTATAATCATCTTTCATTTGAACTTTGAAATGGCAGTTGGCATTTCTTCGAAGTGAACTAATTTTCAAGGCCATTGGGTGGAAGCTGGAGTGTGGAATTGAAATGAATAGCTTTTTTAAAGCAGCTTCAGTACTTTCAGATTCTGTGATTCTAGGCAAGAAAGATGCTGTGATTTGATCTGTTTCAGCTGCTTTCCTAGAATAGAAACCCATTGGAGCCTACACTATTTGTCTTGAATGCAGAATTGTCAACTACTGTGAAAACAGGGGATGGAAACGAATCTTTGACAACAACAGAGGAGACTACATCTTTAAGTGGTCGGAATTCAAAATGATTTCCAACTATCAGAACTTCCGTCCAGGTAAGAGGGATGTTATGGACCAGACCAAACGCCACCAAAATATATTAAGGAGGTAGCCTAGACTCTAACCTTTGCTTATTTTAAAGGCAAGTACCAGATGTTGCATTTTAGATGCGATTTGATTGGTCAAACTATTGTCTTGAAGCAAAACACACTTTATTCATATACTGTGGTTAAAATACAGCAAAAGAAAGAATTGGAACAAGTTAACCCTATTGGAAAACTTAACAGAATAATAGATTATTTAGCTACTAAACAGTAACTGTTCTGATATAGTAACATCCCATAAACACACACTCTGCAAAGGCAAATTCAGTAAAATAGATTGTCTCACATGCAATTCTCCAGTCAAGGAGGAAAAACATCAAAAGAAAACTCTGAGAGAGAGAGAGTAGCAGGGAGTGATGAAATGCATCTTTCAAACCCAACTTCACAACACCAGCAACTGCTGCTGAAAAACTAAATCTAAACATCCTGTTTCTGGGATGGAGGCTTGACCCCACCAATTCAGGCTGCTTCTATTGTTCCAACTTCAGAAAAAAAGTCCCAAGACCGCACAAGCTGTTTACTTTATTAGCTATGAAGCAGACTGCTCATCACCTCTGTCTCAACTTTTCTTCACATAAAAAGCCAGGATAAAATACATGTCTTAATGCCATGATATCATCACAGGGTGAAGGCTGAAACAAGGGAGCTGTCTCAATTTGATTGCAACCTTAGTGGAATCTGATAGAAATGAGTAATAGATTGTGGTAATATTTGGACAGATCTGCCAAAGTTATCAAAGACCGCACAGGTAAAGGGACAGCTACACTTGAGTGTTCCTATCTATTTGCCTTGTGAGGGTGACTTGTGAGGCTATTAAAACTGAACCTGAATGAGTCTACACACATGCAGTTTCCAGCTTGGGGGGGAAGCACTAATTAATTATCAACAGAAATCCTGACTGGTTCATCTTTAACCCTAACTCAACATCAAATCCTTGTATTAAACCCAGAATAGCCTCCATTTGACTCGCAATGAAACACCCATTAGACAATTTATAATGTTGATCGACTTTATTCGACCACACATAATATGAAGATGTGGAGCATGAATAATCAGCAGGAAAAATGTTCAAATCCATGTTCCCTGGACAACTTGTTGGTGTACCATAATTAACGTGAGTGATTTTTTTTCATATTAAAGTGTTCAACAATAATATATGCAAAAATAACAATAATATTACAGGCCAACAGTATCTAGGAATCCGAAGTAGTTTGAGGATTATAAGCCATACATTCCTTCAAACTGAGAGATAGTTCAGAATTTGCTGAAACAAGGCATGTCCTGTTATTTAGAGATAGCAAGAACTGCAGGTGTTGAAGTCAGAGATTACACAGTGTGGAGCTGGAGGAACACAGCAGGCCAAGCAGCATCAGAGGAGCAGGAAAGTTGACATTTCTGAAGAAGGGTCCCGACCCAAAACGTCAACTTTTCTGCTCCTCTGATGCTGCCTGGCCTGCTGTGTTCCTCCAGTTCCACGCTGTGTTATCTATGTCCTGTTATTTAGACATGATTCTGCTCCTTCAGCTCAAAAGTGCTTTGCCCAAAAATGTTACTGAAAGTGTGTGAGGTGGAAACAATTCAGCTCGGGTGACAGGGCATCTGGGACCTTAGTGAGCAACAGGACCAATATCATGCCTCCTTTCTCCAATGAGATTTAAGAATTGAGAAATAAACAGGAGAAGGACTGAGGAGGAGGATGAACTAAAGTCGGTGCGACCAATATCAAATCAGGTACAGGAAGAAATAGAGAGGGAATGAAGGATCAGGGTGGGTCAGGAAACAGCATGCTGTCAAAGTAAAAAGACAAAAGCAACAATTGAAGCTGGCTGTTTTGTGCTGCTACATGCATGTTCTTGCTCAGTTTCCATGTAACATATTTATGTCTTTGGTCTCTGTTGTTTTGACAGGTCGGCAAATATTAAACCAGATCCCAAACAACAGGATCCTGACTACGAAAGCTGGCCTATGCAGTTCGCTCAAGGAATATGAACGAATAGCAATTAAATATTCAAAAGGCGTGAATTCACAGTAAGTCTTCTGGCCTACATGTCTGTGCCCTGGACAATATTCTCAAGATTTGAGCCAATCGGAATTACTTCAGGGATTTCAATTACTAATTGGATATTGGGATTTATCTGTTGTATCTCAGTCAATCTAAGAGAGAAATGAATGTCAGTGATAATTAGCAGCTCAACAGTTTGGACAGTATTTTATCCAGGTTAAGGAGTGCCTGCTTGAATCCTGTTTAACCTTGCCTGGGGAAGGTCTGCCTTGTTAAGTATCAATCAGATGCTTAAGTGACCAGTGGTGGGTTTTCCCCAAAATCACAGATCTTGGTGGTGCAGGTCTAGCAGCACCATGGGCATGTTAGAGGCTGGCAATGCACCAAACTGAGGCTCAGAATCAGTTAGGGAACCAGGCCACAAGTGAAAGGGGACAGGATGGGGTTCAGTGATAGATAGTTTCTTGCTTAAGGGGATCAAGTGTTAAAAGAAGAAAGCAGGAGAATGGGGTTCAGAAACATAACAGCCATGATTGAATGGCAGAGTAGACTTGATGGGCTGAATGGCCTAATTCTGCTCCTATATCTTATGGTCTAATGGGAGAAGGCCAAGCAGGTCAGCAGCAATGGCATGGGTTAGCTTTTAGTGATGTCCGCCATTCCTTCCTTGTGCCAGGTCCCAGATCAGGCACTGAGTGCCAGACACCAAGGCACTCCACACCCATAGGCAAAGCCATCAGCATTTGCTTTTTGGTCTACCTACAAGTGACAGTCCAACCCATTATTGGTACCACCGTGGCAATGGGATGAAGCCTTTAAGTGGCATAAGAGCTAATATTTAAGCTCGAACAACAAAAATCGCCAGTAAATGTTGCTCTATTTGTGTGAAGGCTATAGGATAGGATGTTGTCAATAGCCTGCCAATCCTGACATTGTATCAGAGCCTGGGCATCACGTCTGCAGTCCTTCTTGTTGACATGACATTACAAGTAAAATTCTAAGTGCAAGCAGCATAAATGGAATACAGTGGCAGGGGATGGTTTTCATTGGTAAAACCTGATACCAGCTGACAATGCAACTGTTATATGTCGGCTACCAAACAGCCTTTTGTTCAAACTGAGAGACTCTGGGCCTCAGCTAAAAACATTCCTGTCCAATTCCATTGCTGAGAACTTAAGACTTGAGTGCATGAAGGTGTTTTGCAAAGTTAAGTTTTACTTGTAAATGTTTCACATCACATTGGTTTCATTTTACTCATGTGCACAGCACGGTGGCTCAGTGGTTAGCACTGCTGCCTCACAGTGCCAGGGACATGGCTTTGATTCCACTCTCAGTTGACTGTCTGTGTGGAGTTTGCACGTTTTCCCTGTATCTGCATGGGTTTCCTCTGAGTGGTCTGGTTTCCTCCCAAATATGTGCAGGTTATGTGGATTGGCCATGCTAAATTGCCCATCGTGTCCAGGGAAGTGCACTATAGATTGGCTAGCTGTGGGAAATGCAGGGTTACTGGGATAGGATGGGTCTGGGTTGGATGCTCTTCGGACGGTTGGTGTGGACTCAAATGGCCAAATGGCCTGCTCCCACACTGTAGAGATTCTATGTGTACATCGTTATTTGTTGAAACTAGCTTAGTCAGAGAGCTAAAGGTACAGGCACACTTCATGGCTGGCATGCCTTGACGGTTACAGGGAAATTAGGGAGATTTTCTTTCTATAGAAACAGTAATATTTTGGTCATTATTCTTCATTCTTTCTTGAATGTTAAAATTAGCATCCAGTATTGATGTAGAGTCCATTTGGGTGGAGGTTAAAAACAGCAAGAGAAAGAAGTCATTGGTAGAAGTAATGTATAGATCTCCAAACAGGAGCCACCCTGAGGGAAAGGCTATAAATCAACAAATAATAGGAATATGTGAGACGAATAGGGCAATAATTATGGGTGACTGAAAATATTCATGTTGATTAATTGAATCAAATTGGAAAGGGTAGCTAAAACAACAAATTCTTAGAGTGCATTAAGAGGAATATGTCATGGAGCTAACCAGGGAGCAGGCTATCTTGGATCTGGTAATGGGTAATGAGGCATGTTTAATAAATGACCTCTGAATAAAAGACTCCCTAGGAAATAGTGATCAAAACATGACAGAATTTAATATTCAGTTTGTGAGTGAGAAACGTGGGTCAAAAACATTGTGTTTAACTTAAATAAAGGAAATTAAAATGAAGTGAGGTTAGAATTAGCTGAAGTGAACTGGGTAGATAGATTAGCGGGAAAAACAGTAAGCAAACAGTGGCAGATGTTTAATCAGGTCATTCATGGCTCTCAGCAAAAATATATCCAGTAAGGAAGAAAGATTCTAAGAGAGGGATAAACCAATTATGGCTAACCAAGAAAGTAAAAGAGCATATAGAGATGAAAGGAGAAGCATAAAAGCAGTCAAAAAAGTCAGTGATAGCCCCAAAAACTGAATAAATTTGGAATTCAGCAAAGGAGGACTAATAAGATAACAAAGACAGAGAAAATAAATTATAAGGGCAAACTAGTGAGGAAATCTAAAAGCTGACAATAAGAGCTTCTTTAAATACATAAAATGGAAGAGACAGGGCAAAGTGGACGTAGGCCCTTTAGAAAATGATAAAGTTATGGGCAACAAGGAAATGGAGAGGATGTAAATATTTTGCATCAATCTTTACAGTGGACGTTGCTTTAAACATTCCATTAATAGCAAGAAGTACAGGGAAGGAATTAAATATGATCACCATCACTAAAGAAGCAGTATTAGACAACTAATGGGGCTAAAGGCAGGTACGTCCCCTGGCCCAGATGGCTTGCACCCTAGGATCCTATAATAGGTAGCTGCAGAGATAGTGGATGCATTGTTTATAATTTCTAGTAATTGTTGGATTCCAGAGAAGTACCAGAGGGTAGGAAAACTGCCAATGTGACACCCCTATTAATAAAGGGAGGGAGGCAAAAAGCAAGTAGCTAAAGCCTAATTGCCTGAGCATCTATTGTTGGAAAAGTATTGGAATCAATTATTAAGGAAGTAATAGCAGCACATTTTGGAAAAACAAAATTGTATCTGACTGACCTATTAGAGTTTTTCAATGAAGTCTCAACCAGAGTGGAGAGAGGAGAACAAGTGGATGTATTATATTTGAACTTCCAGAAGGCATTCAACAAAGTCTCTCCATAAACTATTTGCATTGGACGCATCATCCTCTGACACTTCCGCCATCTGCAATCCGACCCCACCACCAAAGACATCTTTCCCTCCCCACCCTTATCTGCTTTCCGGAGGGACCACTCTCTCCGTGACTCCCTTGTCCGTTCCACACTCCCCTCCAGCTCCACCACACCCGGCACTTTTCCCTGCAACCGCAGGAAGTGCTACACCTGCCCCCATACCTCCTCCCTCACCCCCATCCCAGGCCCCAAGAAGACTTTCCACATCAAGCAGATGTTCACCTGCACATCTGCCAATGTGGTATACTGCATCTGCTGTACCCGGTGTGGCTTCCTCGACATCGGGGAAACCAAGCGGAGGCTCGGGGACCGCTTTGCAGAACACCTACGCTCGGTTCGCAATAAACAACTGCACCTCCCAGTCGCGAACCATTTCAACTCCCCCTCCCATTCCTCAGACGACATGTCCATCCTGGGCCTCCTGCAGTGCCACAACGATGCCACCCGAAGGTTGCAGGAACAGCAACTCATATTCCACTTGGGAACCCTGCAGCCCAATGGTATCAATGTGGATTTCACAAGTTTCAAAATCTCCCCCCCCCCCACCGCATCCCAAAACCAGTCCAGCTCGTCCCTGCCTCCCTAACCTGTTCTTCCTCCCACCTATCCCCTCCTCCCACCTCAAGCCGCACCTCCATCTCCTACCGACCAACCTCATCCCGCCCCCTTGACCTGTCCGTCCTCCCTGGACTGACCTATCCCCTTCCTAACTCCCCACCTACACTCACCTTTACTGGCTCCATCCCCGCCTCTTCGACCTGTTTGTTTCCTCTCCACCTATCCTCTCCTCTATCCGCCTCCCACTCTCTCCCTATTTATTTCAGAACCCCCTTCCCCTCCCCCTTTTCTGATGAAGGGTCTAGGAGGGATAAGGGGTTCTTTTTAGATTCGCAATTTGTAACCAATGAGGTTCCACAGGGAACAGTGCTGGGACCTCAACTGTGTACAATGTACATTAACGATTTGCAGGAAGGAAGTAAATTTACTGTAGCCAAATTTACAGATGACGCAAAAATGGGTCAAAAGACAAGCTGTGCGAGGGATACAAATAGTTTATGGAGAGGACTAACAGGTAAAGTAAGTGGGAAAAAATGTTGGCAAATGGAATATAATGTGGGAAAATGTGAAGTCATTCATTTTGGAAGGGAGAACAAAAACAGGATTACTTAAATGGAGAAAAACTGCATGAAGCTGCAAAACAAAGGGAACTGGGATGATTTTGCCTGGAGATCAGAAAGCTAGCACACAGGTGCAGCAGATAATCAGGAATGCTCATGGAAATTTGGTCCCTATTTCAAGAAGTTTGGAGTATCAGAATAAGGAAGTCTTGCTGCAACTATACAAGGTGCTGGTGAGACCACATCTGGAAAACTGTGAGCAGCTTTGATCTCCATATTTAAGGAAAGGTATCATTTCATTGGGGCCAGTTCAGAGAAGGTTCACTGGGATGATCCCTGGTATGTAGAGATTGTCGAAAGAGCAGATCGAGACTCTATTCAGAGGAATGAAAGGTGATCTCAATAAAAATAGGATTCTTAAGGGCCTTGAGAGGGTAAATGCTGACGGGATGTTTCCCCTCAAGGGAGAGTCTAAGATCCAAGGGATATAGTATAAAGGGGCACCAATTTAAGACTGAGATGAGGAGGAATTTCGTCTCTCAGAGAGTTGTGAGCCTTTGGAACTTGTTGAAACGGAGAACTGTGGGGGCAAAGTCCTTGTGTATATTTAGAGCTAAGATAGATTCTTGATCAATCAGGAAATGAACGGCGAAGATTGCTTGAGGAGCAGAATGGCCTACTCCTGTTCCTATTTCTTATGGCCTAATTGGACTTGTCATTCTGTGGGACATCACCAGACTCGCAAGCTCGGCTGGCTGTTCCCTCTATCTGTTGCAAAAAAGACGATCCAAGACCACTTCCAGTGGGGACAATTGGATTGCTGTACATGAGCTCCAATCCATGTGATGACTGCCATCTAACAAATGATGTTGACACATACTTGGCCAGTACTGACACTGCCCTTTAGATTTACTTAGATTTCCTTCCTCTGGACCCATGTGGGACAATGGGAGGCAAGAGTCCACTACTAGGCCCGGTCCATTTCAATCTCTTTTGCCCTAGCCTAGGCGCGTCCCACCCTTTGAAGGTCCTCTAGGAATGTACTTTAATAGATTTTCTTTGGTTCACTGTGCTTTCTTTTCCCAAATGGTGGTGTCCATTCCAAAGCTGCTGTGGTGGGGCCTACATTCAGAATTCAAAATATTTGTCTCATAAATTCATAGATGATTACAGCACAGAAAGAGGCCATTCAGCCCATACTAGTCAACAAAGATCAGACTGCATTGTTTCCATTTTCCATTACTTCACACATAGGTCTGGAGGATATAAATGTTACGAGTGTTTTCTAACTCATGCCCCTGCTTACTGACTCCTGTACTAATAGAAAAAAGCTGCCTTCCTATCCACCCTATCTATGCCCCTCATAATCAAATCCACCTTTATCAGGCCTCTCACACACTTCCCTTCTTCAAGGTGGACAATCCCCACCTGCCTAACCTCTCCTTATAGCTCAGATCCTCCAGTTCGGGCAGCATCCTGGTAGATCTCTTCTGTACTCCCTCTGTCTTGCCAGCCTCAATCATCTCTCAATCACATGCTCTGCAGGCGTCTATGATCAGTCTTGTGTCAGAGTTCTTCATTGGCAGTGTTTTACTCCATGTGATGGCGAGGAACTTATGTGGACAAAGCTTGTGATAGACATTCAACCTACATGGCACTGTTTAAGTTTTATTCCATATCTCATTGACATAGATTCTATAGCGGACAAGTAGAGTCTCAGCCTCATGGCCAAGTTGTTGGTAGTGAAGTCATGGAAAGGCTGGTGCTGATTTACCAATTCTTGTGCAGTCATTGATCTCTATATCTCCCTGAAGAAGATTGCCACCACTTGGCCCATTTTTTTTAACCACTACCCTCCCCCATCTATGCCAAGGACAGCAGCCCCTTCCATCTTCATTCCCAGATGCCCTCTGAACTTCTCTCTTCCATGTCAGTTTGCCCCTGACCACACTTCACGCCCTCAGCACTGACTAACTCTTGCCAACCCTGAGGCTCAACGTATGTTGCTATTCACTCGCTCTCCTCCCTTGGGCCATTAGAACTCTGCTGAGCTTACACACAGTTGCACAAAGATGACGGGTGCACGTCTAAATGATTGTGAACTGGGTGCCATGAGATTCCCATGTGCGAATGGCTTCATTGTTTCACACCCATTTGCTTGCTTCCTGCTGATACATATTCATCTTTATCTCTGCATCTCAATCTCCTGTCAGGAAATTGAAATCTCACATTCCACCTAATTCAGCAAAGCCTGTAGGCCACAGTTCCTACACTCCTGAACTGCTCACAGTCCCACAAGCATGTTCATGTGCTCATGCATGCATGTATGCACACACATGCGCGCACACACACACACCTTCACACTCACACACACGCCTACACACACACACACACCTATACACAGATCTACACACACATCTACTCACACACACGCACCTACACACACATACCTTCACACTCAGACACATACCTTCACACTCACACACACATACCCACACACATACACACACATACGCACACACACCTACACACAAATACCTACACACACACACACACCTTCACACTCACACACACACCTTTTTACTCACACACACACACCTACACACACACTCACACAACTTCACACACATACCATCACACACCCACACACACACACATACACACGCACCTACACACACACATCTACACAAACACACACACCTACATGCACACGCACCTACACACACACTCGCACACAACTTCACCCACATACTATCACACACCCACAAACACACACACATACACACACACCTTCACAAACACACACCTACACACATATACCTACACACTCACACACCTACACACTCACACATGTACACACACACATACCTACACACACACCCACCTACACACACACACACCTTCACATTCACACATGTTTTAACACAGGCCTTCACACACACACACACACACACACACACACACACACACACATTTTCACACATGCACGCACACCTTCATACCTTGCCCCTTCACCATATAGAGTTGCCCTTGATTTCATGTCATACCAACATTTGCTAAGAGCTGGGATAACATTATGTCAGCAATAAGCCACTGACATAAACAAGTCTTATTGCACAGCCAACAAGAGTCCAATTGGCTGATCCCTACATTTTGTGCCAAATTTAATGCCCCTATGGGTGTGTATTCCAAAACCTGCTTGCTCCTATGATGCTGCTTGGCCTGCTGTGTTCATCCAGCTCTGCACCTTGCAGTAAGAAGTGTTTTTTATATGTGATACTAAATCTAGTTTGCAACTAATACTTTGTGAGCAGGGAGCAACTCTATTTTTTCACTCCACCATCCAACTGCCCTGCAGGTTTTAATGAGTTTTTAGTAGTTCTTGTCTGCACTCTGTGACTTCCTTTCTTTCTTGTGTCATGTAGCAAGTCCATAAGATTGGATGAATTTTTCCCTCAGTCATTCCGCATTGATCTGCAAAGTGATCGCCAAGCCTTTTTTGATGCCTTCAGAGGTAATGTATTTTTCTCCTTCCAGATTAACAATGCTTCTTTCTCTTCTTCTCCTCCATGTTAGGAGTTGTCTAAAGAATTTATGTTCCAGTTTGAGCATTGCACTAGCTATTTGGTACAACATTATTTCACAAGGTTTGAAAAAATTATGGAGCAAAGTCATTCACATTGGCAGAAAAAATTTAAAAAGCCAACTTTCTTCTGAATGGTGAGAGCCTGGAAGTTAATTACATTCCGAGGAACCTGGTTGTATAAGAGTTGCAGAAGGTTAACACACACCATTTGTTTCCTTGCTGTTCTTTTGAAATGTGTGTGCACGCACGTGTGTGTGTGTGTGTGTGTGTGTGTGTGTCTGGGTGTGTGTATCAATTTTAAATAAATTTAATGAATGCATTACATACCGTGATCCACTTTATAACAGGGCAGAGACACAGTAGCTGTCTTTTCCTGAATGTAGTTTGTGGATGTGATTTCATGATTGTAGTCTCCCCACTTCTGCTTTTTTGGGTGTAGGTGTGAATCGACACTGATAGCTGCATAGATACCTCCCCTGCAGACCCATGCCAGTTCTGGTGAAGTTGTCCCCCATCTCTGCAGCTGATTAACATTTTGGAATCTTTCCTCCTGCACAAGAGGGGCTGACCCAGTCTTAGAGATTCCCCAGCTAAAGAAAACATCTCCCACACCTACCCAGTAAAATTGTGAATTGTTTAGGTTTCGACTAAATCATCTCCCATTCCTCTAAACTCTGCAGGATATAAGGCCAGAGTACTCAACCTCATCTCATGGGCTGGTTCTACCATTGCCTAGGGACTCCTCTAGTGAACCTTTTTTGTTTTCCCTTTATAAGGCAAGAAGGCCAAACCTGTACAAAATATTCTAGGTGCGAGCTCACTAATTCCCTGTATACTTGTCACACTCTTTCATTCTGACTCTCCATTCGCTTTGTAAAGTGTACATACCATTTATCTTCCTAATTGCTTGCTCCACCTGCATGTGTTAACCTTCTGCGACTCATACAACCAGGTTCCTCGGAATGTAATTATCTTCCAGGCTCTCACCATTCAAAAGAAAATTGGCTTTTTAAAATTTTTCTGCCAACGTGAATGACTTTGTTCCATGACTTCTAACACACAGTGCCAACCCACTGCCTTAATTATTGATGTTAATTGTGAGCAGATCAATCCACTGGATGAACTGGGAAATCCATTGCCTGCTGAAGAGCAGGCGTGGGGCATTCAAGTCAGAGAACCCTCCCCTTTCCAGGAAATCCAGATACGACCTCTGTAAAGCCATTAGAGGCAATACTGGACTAAGTTAGAGACCCAAACTGACCACATAGACACTCACCGTCTGTGGCAAGGCCTACATGATGTAACAGGCCACAAAATGAAACAGAACAGAGTAACGGACAAAAATACATCCCTCCCTAATGCACTCAGTGCATTTTATGCTCAGTTCAAACAGAAGGTCAGTGAAACAATTACACCTGCCCCAACTAGCTTTGGATGCAGCTGTTCCCTCAGTCACTGCTGTGAATGCCAGATCGGCCTTCCTGAGAGTGAACCCACAGAAAGCGGTGGCTCTGATGGAATCCATGACTGTGCACTCAGGTCCTGGTGCGGACCAGCTGGCTGAAGTATTCGTTGACAACTTTAACCTCTCCTTGCTACATTCTGAAGTCCCCACCTGCTTCAAGAAGACCACCATCATCCCGATGCTGAAGAAAACACATGCAAGACGCCTCAATGACTACTGCCCAGTGGCTCTGACCTCATAATTAAGAAGTGCTTTGAGAGGTTAGTCATGGGTTATATCATCTCTAGCTTCCCAGCCTGCCTCGCTCCCTTGCAATTAGCCAACCGGTGCAACAAGTTCACAGTAGACACCATCTCCCTGAGCCTTACACTCATCCCTGGAACATAATAAGGATACCTATGTCAGGGTTCTACTTATGATTACAGCTCCGCCCGCAACACTATAATCCCAACCAAACTAATCTCCAAACTCTGAGACTCAGGCATCTGCTCTGCCGTCTGCATCTGGATCCTCAACTTCCTGACCCACAGACCGCAATCATTGAAGATAGACAACAGCACCTCCTTCACGGCATTCCTCAACACCAGCATCCCACAAGGATGCGTACTCAGCCCCCTACTGTACTCCCTGTACGCTCATGACTGTGTGGCCAAATTTCATCCAAACTCCATCTACAAGTTCACTGATGAAACTACTGTTGTAGGCCAGATATCAAACAGTGACGAGACAGAATACAGGAAAGAAATGGAGTGCTTGGTGGCTTGGTGTAAAAGTAACAATGTCTCCCTCAACATCAGCAAAACTAAAGAGGTGATCATTGATTTCAGGAAAAAAGGAGGAGGGCACACCCCCACTTACATGAATGAAGCTGAGGTGGAGGTGGTTGAGAGCTTCAAGTTCTTAGGAGTGATGATCATCGACAATCTGTCGTGGACCACCCATGTTGATGTGACGGTGAAAGAAGGCCTCTTCTTCCTCAGGAGACTTAGCGAAATTCAGCATGTCCATAAGGACTCTCACCAACTTTTATAGATGCAACATAGAAAGTATTCTATCTGGATGCATCACAGCCTGGTATGGCAACTGCTCTGCCCAGGATCATAAGAAACTGCAGAAAGTTGTGAACACAGTCCAGTCCATCACACAAGCCAACCTTCCATCCATTGACTCCATCTATACTTCTCGCTACCTCAGAAAGGCAACCAACATCATCAAAGACCCCTCCCAAGCTGATTATAATCTCTTCCAACCTTTACCGTCAGGCAGAAGATACAAAAACTTAAACACACATACCAACAGTTTCAAGAACAGCTTCTTCCCTTTTGTTATTAGCTTTCGGAATGGATCTCTCAAATTTCAAATCTAATGTTGATCTTGCTATTTGTGCACCTTCTTTGTCGCTGTAACTTGGTATTCCTCACCCTGTTCAACCAGGACATGATCTTTGTACTATATGAGCTGCCTGTACTGCATGCAAAACAAAACTTTTCACTGTACCTAGGTACATGTGATAATAATAAATAAAATCAAATCAAACCTTGCTAACTCTCAAAATAATAAATCATTCACGTGCCATTAACCCTTTGTTGTCAGGCACAATCTTCACAACAACGATGATTCTGAATAAACCCTATCCACTATTAAAAGCACTATTGGATGCTTCTCTCTGTTGAAATGGTGCAATGCCCTTTGACTGGATGGATGCATCCACAATCATCAGCATTTGCTGATTATCTCTAGAGATATTTTGTCTGTACATTCCTTTGACAGTGAACATCACAGATAATTAGAGTATAGAGGACACTATAAACCAAAACCATTCCTACCTTCAAGCCAATTTTGTATCCAAATGGTTAGTCCTCCCCATATTCCATTTAATATGACCTTGCTAACCAGTCTATCATGCTAAACATGATTGACTTTTCTCCTCCAATTCCTCCAACTCCAATCTCTAATCATCTCCTGCAACGCACCTCCCCTGTATCATTACCAAACCTAAACATGTTCAAATGAAGCTAAAATGCCCGCTAAACCTGTTAGCCTGACTGAGGCGGTTAGCTATTTGAATACTCACAGACAATATAATGAAAGGAAGGCGTGTTTCCTGCTTGACATATTTGTTTTCTCTTTTTCACGCTTTGATGCAGATGGGCAGATTTGGATTTGTAAACCTTCCAATTTACAAGAGGGTCGGGGGATCTTCCTCCTGAAATCTCGGGAAGACCTGGCTGTATTCCGTGCAAAGGTGGAAAGTGTGGAAGATAATCCAATGATCAAACCAATTCACTATAATTCCATCATTCACAGAGTGGTGCAAAGGTAACTGAGAACAATCAAAGAAAAGGAATCATTATGTATTCACCTATAATGTATTGCAACATATCAATCTGCTTTGTATATCAACTTTTTGTTATTAATTTCTAGGCTCTGATTCATAATGTAAACTACATATGTAACCATGACAGACTGGAACATGGCTCCTTTTAGAACATTGGATGATAAATTGGACATATGGCTCCTCAAAGCTCTAGAATGGTCTCCACCTGTGGAGCAAAATGCACTGGATGCCATAAACTTGTAGGCGCCAGCAGACACAGGGTAACCTACCGCTGCGAGGATGTTGGCAGTGCAAGCTGTCAATTAATGTGCAAGTCTATTTGAATACCAAAAGTGCCAACCAATGCCCTCTCCTAAGCTTGATGAATGTGTTTTCAGGGTTATTACCGAGTACATATTGGTTAGTTGCTAGGTGACATGAAGGGAACAGTCTGGGTTAGCTGACTGACAGACAATAAGAAGGAGACAAAATAAAAAAAAGAAAGAAAAAACGAAAGAACTGCAGATGCTGTGAATCAGGAACAAAAACAAAGTTGCTGGAAAAGCTCAGCAGGTCTGGCAGCATCTGTGAAGGAAAAGAAACAAGAGTTAACATTTCGGGTCCGGTGACCCTTCCTAAGAAGGAGACAGTTGGAGTGACAGGAGAAATACTATCTCCTGGGAGAAGAATGCAGGTTTCTGTCCATGGAGGCACGACAACTCCTCTGGGTTTCTGAAGCATCAATCCTAGTCATGTGTTAGATGGTTGTGGCACGCTGCACCAGCAATGAGGCTTTAGTTTGCATTGTAGCAAGCTGGCCTGACATTACGGCAGTCTGAGTTGTCACTGCCTCACTCAGAGATTTCGGGTGACTGCTATCTGAGCTGCAATGAATGTTTCAACATGGATCATCATAGAGTGCATCATGGATGCATCCACAAGTATTTAAATAGAGTTGCTCAGTATTCCTAAACTCTGAGGGAAGTTGGTTCTGGTCTTTTGGACATTGATAAAAGCAAGATACTACAGATATTGGAAATCTACTAGTAAAGCACAAAGGACTGGAAGAGCGTAGTGGGTCAGGCAGCAAAAACAGGGTTAGCATTTCATGTCAAACATAATTGTTCTTCAGAACCAAAGGAAGTCGAAATGAAATCAGTTTTAATGCCGTTAAAAGTTGGAGGAGTTGAGGGTGGAGGAAGAACAAAAGAGAAGATGTGGGATGGGTGTAGAGAGTGGCTGAAATTGAATGACAAAGATATCATGGGGTAAAACGTAAAAGGAGTGGTAGGTGTTGAAGTAAAGGAACAAAACATTTGTCCAAAGTGGGTCTTAATCTGCAGAATAATGAACAACACATCCTGAAAGCAGAAACATGAAGATAAAGGTCAGGCTGGCACATAGCAAAGAAAATGTCAATGAAAATAGGATATAAAGGTCATGGTCTGAAATTATTGATCTTGACATTGAGTTGAGAAGGCGAACAAAGCTGGTGATGTGGTTCTGTTCCTTGAACTTTAACCATCGGAAGCATTGGGGTCATGCTTGCAGAATAAACAGAGGTGTCTACAAAACCGTCACCCAATCTTCATTTGGTCTCCTCACAAAATACGTCATTGTTAGCAGCAAATACAAAATGCTAAATTGAAAGAAATACAAGTAATATGACATTGCCAATGCACCAACCATTCAGTTGTGCCATACCCATTGAAGTCCTCACCTTGGCCCTCTGCTGTGAATCTGCATGTTTGTTTTATTGGGCATTGCTGTCTGACCAGCATTTTTATTGGCCATCACAGGGGAGGTGATGGCCTAGTGGTATTATTGCTGGACTGTTAATCCAGAGACCCGGATAATGTTCTGGGGACCTGGGTTCAATTCCCACCACGGGCACATGGTGGAATTTGAATTCAATAAATATCTGGAATAAAGAATCTAATGATGACCATGAATCCAATGCCAATTGTTGGGGGAAAAACTCATCTGGTTCACTATTGTCCTTTAGGGAAGGAAACTGCTATGCTTACATGTGACTCCTGACCCACAGTGATGTGGTTGACTCTTAACTGCCCTCTGGGCAATTAGGGATGGGCAATAAATGCTGCCTGGCCAGCAACACTCTCATCCTGTGAATGAATAAAGGTGTGAAGGTAGTAGTGAGCTGATTTCTTGAACTGTTGCAGCCCACATCCTGTAGTTGACCCACAATGCCCTTCGGGAGGAGATTCCAGGATTTTGACCCAGTGACACTGAAGGAATGGCGATATATTTCCAAGTCAGAATGATGATTGGCTTGGAGGGGAATTATAGGTGGTGATATGCCTATATATTTTCTGCCCTTGTTCTTCTAGATCAAAGTCTAGAAGATGCTGCCTGAGGATCTTTGGTGAATTTCTGCAGTGCATCTTGTAGATAGTACACACTGTTGCTCCTGAGTGTTGGTGGTGAAGGGAGTGGATGCTTGTGGATGTGGTGTCAAACAAGTGGAATGCTTTTTCCTATCTGGTGTTAAGCTTCTTGAGTGTTGTTGTAGCTGCACCTATCCAGATAAGTGGGCAGTATTCCATCACACTCCTAAATTGTACCTTGTAGATGGTGGACAGGCTTTGAGAGGTCAGGAAGTGAGTTACTTGCCACATTATTCCTAGCTTCTGACTTGTTTCTGTAAACACAGTGTTTATGTGGTGAATCCAGTTGAGTTTGTGGTCGATTGTAACACCCAGGATGTTGATGATGGCAGATTCAGTGATAGTAATGCCATTGATTGTCAAGGGTCAGTGGTTAGGTTGCCTCTTATTAGGAATGGTCATTACCTGGTATTTGTGTGTTGTGAATTACTTGCCACTTTTTTAGCCCAAGCCTGGATATTGTCCAGCTCTTGCTGTAGTTGAAAGTGGACTGCTTCTGTATACGAGGAGTCGCAAATGGTGCTGACCGTTGTGCAAACGTCTCCTCTTCTGACCTTTTGATGGATGGAAGGTCATTGATGAAGCAGCTGAAGATGGTTGCGTCTAGGACATGACGCTGAGGAATTCCTGCAGACAACTCCTGGAGATGAGATTACTGATCTTGTTCTTGCTCTCTGGCCTTGTAACCGTGCTCTCTGGTGTTTTGGCAGCTGCCATTGTCCACTTGTGCTCAGTGCCTCACAATGAGCAGACCCCACCTCCATCTATTCAATAATGTGCGCATTGCATCAGCATCTGAAGGTACGTGTTGTATCAAGTTTGATATAAAGTGACGGTGTTGACTCCTCAGCATCACTGGCAAGATTGCAGCTCTTGGATATTTGAAAGGAAGAAGACACAAGGGGTAAGGTTGTAATTTTGAACAGGAGTGAATGGGCGGGGGAAGTTTGAAGTTATACCATCTGCTGCTTGTAAATCAGAAGAGAGTAAGATGAGGAGGATATGGGATGGAGGATTAGATTTGAGGACTTTATATCATCTTTAATAGTTTCAGGTCCACTACTGACCATGGCTTCAACATTAGTGGCCAGCATCATCTCCATGTAGTTCCTATTGCATCTGTTTGTGTGCACCCTTCTCCTGTAAGAAAGGAGGAACCAAAGAATAACTCACATTCTGTTTGGCTGATGTGGTTAGTTTGGTTGAATGATTAGCAGTGTGTGCAACCTATGAGTATATGGATGTAAGGTTTGTAAGTGTATAAAGGTGGGTTGGCTCAGTGGTTAACATTGCTGCCTCACAGCGCCAGGGTCCCATTTCCACACTCAGGTGACTGTCTGTGAGGTTTTGCACATTCTTCCTATATCTGTGTGTATTTCCTCTTGGTGCTAAAGGTTCCCCCCAAAGCCCAAAGATGTGCAGATTAGGTGGATCAGTTATGGATCAGGTGGATCAGAAATTCAGGGTTGCAGGTGAGTGGTTGTGTCTGAGTGGCTGTTTGGAGGGTTGGTGTGGACTTAATGGGCCCAATTGCCTGCTTCCACACGATAAGTATTCAATGGATCACATGGCAAGAGGCCTAAGTGGGTGAGAGTGATAAGGGCACAGCGATTTGTACAATGGTTGAGGCAACAAGTGTGATTCATAAAGTATGGTGTTGGAAAGTCTATCCACAGACTTTAATCACTCATTCAAATATATTGAACATTTTGCATCCTCAAGACGTGTCTTATGTCATCGTCCTCCTCAGCTATCTCCATTCCTCTTCCGGATATAGGATGTCTATCTTCCTTTCTATCTTTCCCACCAAACTTCTGGGTGCCTGCTGTCTCTTGCACACTGTTCAGGTTCACTTCAAGTAAAATGTCAGCCAATCCTGATACAACCACAAGGCACTAACCCTTGAAGAGGTGCAGGCTAGACTTCAAGTATCATCATAGAGTCCCTACAGTGTGGAAACAAGCCCTTTAGCCCAACAAGTCCACACCAACCCTCAATGCATCCCACCCAGACCCATCCCCCTATAACCCACATATCCCTGAACACTACAGGCAATTAAGCATGGCCAATCCCACCTAGCCTGCCCATCTTTGGACTGTGGGAGGAAACCAGAGCACCCGGAGGAAACCCACACAGACACAGGGAGAATGTGCAAACTCCACACAGACAGTCACCCAAGGGTGGTAATTGAACCTGAGTCCTTAGTGCTGTGAGGCAGCAGTGCTAACCACTGAGCCACCGTGCCACCCCAAATGTGCAAGCCCTAATAGTGCTCACTGGCTACATATAGATGAGCAGTATGGTTAGAGCTGGGTTGATGTAGGGATAATTTATGTGAGCAGGAAACATGGAAGTGTGGAGCTGTCTGTGTTACAATCAATAGGTGGATGTTAATTGTGCATCCTGATCGCTGTGTCCATTTTAGGGGTTGATCAAATATGGTTCCCTCTGTACCGCAAGCATGATGGGTGGGTATATCTGTGATGGAATTGGAGAAACCAGCACAGAATCCTCAAGTTTAAAATTGGGCATTAAATTATGTTTGCATGCCCTTATCTGTTTACCCCATGCTCTTTACCCCTGTTTCACCTGTCACACTTCATGTCCTGCCATTTGGTGTTCAGTAGGAAATCAACTGTAATGGGATACGGTCAAAAGATCTTGTACTTGCTCTCATAATTTAGGTAAGGTTTACTGATTTCTTGTGGCCAATGAACTCAAATTGAGACAGGCATGTGAAAAAGTTCCTAATTACGATGCTGTAGCTACTGTGAGGCGAGGAAAGTTTTGATGACCCACTTGATTATTCCCTGGCCATCAAGGTGTATCAGCTGTGGTTCAGTTGGTAGTGCTCTCACACCTGGGTCACAAGGATCTGGATTCAAGTCCCAATCCAGGATGTGAGCACATCAAGTCAAGGCCGACCCTACAGTGCAGTAGTGAGTGAGCGCTGCACTGCTGGAGATGCTGTCATTTCAGATGACATACCAAATGCAAACCGAAAAACCTCAATGAATGTAAAACATCCCATGGCCCTATTGCAAAGAAGAGCAGGGGAGAGTGATTCCTTGTCAATGTTTGTCCCTTGATTGATATCACAAAAGCAGGTTATCTGCTTATAGAGTCATACAGCATAGAAGAGGCCCTTTGGCCCATTGGGTCTGTGTCAAACTATCTACACTAATCCCACTTTCCAGCACTTGGCCCATATCTTTGAATGTTATGACGTTTCAAATGCTCAACAAGGTTATGAGGTTTCCTACCTCTACTGCCCACCCAGGCAGTGCATTCCTGATTCCTACCACCCTCTGGGTAAGAAGGTCTTTCCTCAAATGCCCTCTAAACCTCCTGCCCTTCACCTGAAAATTGCATATTCCCATAAATTGGTAACCACATTTCCAATGACTGTAAATGTACATTGTTGGGTGTAAAGCACTTTGACATATATGGTGGTCACAAATAAATCACTCTATAAATGCGAGATCTATTCTTTTCATATGTTTGTGCAACCTCTGTAGATCTGACCAGCTCATTCCAATCCACCTCATCCACTGGCTCTCAGCATTAAACATGATAATGTGGCTGCAATTAGTTAGAGTGGGAGGTAGGGTGCTGACAATGTTCATTGGATCCTCCTCCCTCCCCTTTTTCAACCTGATGCAACACATGACTCCATAGTGAAATAGAAAGTCATCACTTGTCCCGTGCCAGTCACACCCATACAGAAACAAAATGAGGAATCTTAAAAGTGTCTTTAAATCTAACTCAGATATGAAACACTGAGAATGAAATGTCTGTCTGTGGAATTGTCTTTAAAAAGTCTATGCGTTTTACCCAAACAGATATGTTGTCAGGCCCTTACTCCTGGAAGGAAGGAAGTTCGATGTTCGCTCATACTTTTTGATTGCCTGCACGGCCCCTTTTATGGCTTTCTTTCACCATGGTTATGCCAGATCAACATGCAACAGATACGATCCTTTCTCTGATGATCTGACAAGTCACCTGACCAATCAGGTAAATTAAATATGGCGAAACCCTCCCTTCTCCTTCCACAGAGCCCAGAAGGAAAAAAAATCTCCATTGTTGTACCAAATTCTTATTTAACAAAAGTTACTTGAAAAGATACAATTTCATTTTATTATTTTCTGTTGGACAGGAGAATTTGGAGTTATACAGGAACCTTGCCAATAGGAACATGCCCAGACATCGCATCTGTTTTGAATAAAAAGCAAAAGCACGGGGGCATTTGCTATGATAACATCATGACCGAATAAGAGCATAATTGCCAACCAATCAATATTCATTTCTCATGCAACATAAATTGTTGTTCACTTTCAAATTTTTAGCATTCTTGCATTTGTCCTGATGAATGCAGGTCAGAAGCTTCAACAATATGTCTCTTTTTTTTAGCAACACTCAACTTATGTACAAAGAGATGATCTAACTGAGGTATTTAAAATAATTAAAAGATTAAAATGGTCGATATTTTCTCTGTTGCAAGAATCCAGAACTGAAACATATAACCTGAAAATTAGAACTAGGAATTTTAGATGTGAAATCAGGAAGCAATCTTTTACACAATTGGTTAAAGGTATCTAGTCCTCTCCCCAGAAACCTGTTGAGCTGAGTCAGTTGGAATTTTCAAGACTGAGATTGATAGATTTTTGTGACATAAGGTTGTCGAAGGATGAAAGGTGAGGAATTGGAGACTGTAGTACCATCCAGCCGTGACCTAATTGAATGCAGGTTTGAGCAGCTGACTGACCTCCTACAGTTTAGTTGAAGATCAATTTTCAATCGCCACGTCGATTTGAAATATGATTGATAAATTCAAATTGTTGCTATTTTGCTGAAGGTGAGAACAAATGCAAAATGATGAGTTTGTAAATTAGATACAGACTATCCCACTGCTGAATTAATTTGTTTTACACCCATTTGATGCCAACAAAATGGGCACAATGCATATACCAATATTTATTCCGAGCAGTATGAAAGTTTGGTTGGGAATATCACCTCTCTTTGATACCAATGTTCCATGATCAAAGCATACAGAGGTTTTGCATGCTGCAGGGCCCTGTACAGATTGAACACAGCTCAGACATTGAATGACCATCTTCTGATTCCTCCTGAATTTGTGAAGCCTGCTAATTCTGTGATCCATATTGACCAGAATTTCCATTTATACACGGGCCCCTTGTATTTAAAGTGTCACTTACTTGTGTCCTATTCTCAAGAAGAACGATGTAACTTCAGTTATCTAATTTGGTGGATAAGGTTGTTTGCGATGCTGAATGACACCAACAATACAGGCCCAATTCCCATACTGGCTGAGGTCATTTCAACCTCACCTGTGTCATGGTGGCCCTTAAGTTATACTCACCACCAGTTGTCTCTCTCTCTCTGTCTCTTTAATAAGAGAGTGGGACTATGGTGACTTCAACTCATCTCTTATAAGTTGGAGTTTTATTCCGATAATTGCAATTTTGCACATTCTTAATCCATAGTTCATACAGAGAAAGAATCCCCTGTACAATGGAATGAAGGAGGAAACAATCTGGTCTATGGAACGATTGAATAAGTATATTAATGAGAGGTATATGAAAGAAAAGCATCTCCCAAAGGACTGGGTCTTCACTGTTTTTGCAGTAAGTATGTACTCTAACTTTCACTCGGACTCTAATTAACAAAATTCAGTCATGACACCAACATAGGAGTTAGAACAGCAGAGCACAGGAACAGGTCCTTTGGCCCACAGGTCAGGTACTCAGGCCTACTGGTTAGAGCTGGCATGTATCACCATAGTAATGGTTTGAAAACCAAGTGCTTAGAGAATCAAATTCCTTACACAGGCAATCACAATATAGAATATTTTACAACTGATGCTTATTAGATGTACACATGGCTGAATTTCAGAAAATAGCTATTCATCCTCTCTAGGCTGTTCTGTCAAATAGACATAGAACAAAACCATACAAACTCACAATAATATAACTGCACTGTAACAAGGTCCTAGTTTACTACTAACGCCGCCCACAACTTGTTTTCACATAATACCTTTAAGAGTAATCCCCCATTGCACTTCACATGAGCCTGGTACAATGACGGAACTAAACTCCCAAGTATTTATAGTTCATTTTTACTTTAAATTCCAATTTTTTTTAAGAGAATCTGCTTTGGCAAAAAAATGGATGTAAATTCAGTGTCTAACAAAGTTCTGTTAAAAAAAAACCATGAAATGTCGCATCTGTAAAGAGTTAGGGAAACTTCAAACATGAAAAAACTTAACAAGAAGAGATTATGACGGGGCTGATTATCCCCGCTCTCAGCAGAAAGCTGCCTCTTGCAGACAGGTCTGATTCACCCTCCAGGAATTTCTAAAAGAAGGGTTAAAAATTGAATGCAACATGAGTCAATGTATTAGTCTTGGGCATCCTAGTGTGTGTATTAGAGTACTGTGAGGCCACCACTTTGAGGACAGTCATTTTAAACACCCCTGCATTGCAGATGAAAGAAAGGGAAAAACTCTCACTCTGAATGTGGGAATTCAGTCACTGTCAAAAGGAATTAGAACAACAGAATTTCTGTCAACCAGCAAAACAAAAACATCTCAAAATTGACTGCTTAACTGTCAATGTTAAGGTTACTGGTGCTGCCCAGTAATAGCTATAACACCATCTTATCTGCTGTTCAGGAACAATTCGGAGTCTAATTCATATATTGTTTATTATACTTTTTATCTTTTTGGACTTACCTCCTACTCTAACAGTACTATGTCTAGGAAGCTAATGATTTGGCTCCTGACTAGAACCATTACAAATTGGAGAACTTTGCCCAGGGTCTGGTTGTAATAACTATTGTCAGGTTAAATGTGATACCAAGCCACATAGAAATATATGAGGTTGTTGACTTGCTCGCCGAGCTGGCTTGTGCTCATTCAGACGTTTCGTCACCATGCGAGGTGACATCATCAGTGGAGCCTCCAATGAAATGATGTTATTCTACTCCGCTTGGAACTTATACTGTTTGGTCCGTTATGGTCATTTCCGGTTTTGATCTGTATGGGTTTGTATATGGGGTCCAATTCTATATGTTTGTTGATTGCATTATGGGTGGAGAACCATGCCTCTAGGAATTCCCGTGCGTGTCTATGTTCGGCTTGGGTTACTAGTAGCTACTTCATTGGAGGGTCCACTGATGATGTCACCTAGCATGGTAACGAAACGTCTGAATGAGAACAAGCCAGCTCGGCGAGCAAGTCAATCCAAAACCTGAGATACAGATCTTTGCCAAAACTTTAAATAGAGATATGTATTGAGAAATGGCCCAAAACTTTGTCAAAATAGTAACTTTTATGGAGTACCTTAAAGAAGAAAAGAGAGATAGAGGGGCAGAAAGAATAAGGAAAGGAATTCTAAATCGGATCCAGTCAGATAGAGGCGCAACGACTATTGGTGGAATGCTGAAAATCAGAGATCTTCAAAAGACGCAAATTGAAGGAGCAGAGACATCACAGTAAGTCATATGTCTGGAAGACATTACAGACGTTATGGAGTTTACAGGGGTAGACATGGATGACACCAAGGAAAGATTTTAAAACAAGTAAAGGAATTTTAAAATACAGACATTGTTTAACTAGGAACTGATAGAGATCAGTAGAGAATAGGGTTGATGTGTAAATGGGGCTCATCACAAAGTAAGACATGTTCAGCAGAGGTTTGAGTGATCTCAAGTGTACCTTGTGTAAGTGAGCATGCGTGCATTGCAATAGGGCAAGTCTGGAGATAAACGAAAAGTTGTGGATGAGGGTTTTAGTAACAGATGACCTATGAAAAAGGATGAAGTTTGGGTAATCTTACAGAGGTGGGAACAGTCAGTGTTAGTGGTGGTGTGATATGTGCCTGGGAGTTGATCTCTAATTCAAACGTCACCAAGATTACAAACAGTTCAGTTCAACCTTAGGAATAGAATCTGAGAATGTGGGATGGATTGATTAGATTAATGGCCAATTAATGGATTTTTTTACTTGCATTATTTTATTTGTTGTTGTAATTGATTTCAAAAATCTCCTCGTTTCAAGTTTAGTTTCTTCTTTTACTTATTATGGATCTTTCTATGGCAAACGTTTCTTTGCAATTGGTACATTGTTTGAAAGCAATTGAAACTTTTCATGTTTTCTTTCAGAGGAAGATGCAGGAAATTATGACAATATGCTTCAATACTGCCAGGACCAAACTGGATCCTAAATTGGGCTACTTTGACCTAATGGGCTGCGACTTTATTATTGATCAAAATTTCAAGGTTATTGTAATTTTATTTCACTTTGTCCTGTTATGGATGATAGCAAAGTATCAGTTTATGTGGGTTTTTAGGTAGAAATGTTACTTAATTTGGGGGTCACAAAATTCCATCAAAACTGCCTCACAACTGTGTCTTGCCTAAGAATAGAGAGATGAAAACTTTGGCAAAGTATTATAAATAGTTTATTAAAGAGAAGTGGAATCCTAGGGTTGAATCCCATGAATTGGGAATACTTCCTCTGAGTCAGACGGTTACAATTTCAACTCAGCATCAGAAACTACAGTACATAAATAACACCAGTATCTCTGTGCTAGCCAGAGGGATCTCTACATGGTTGAACGTACTGTCTTTTGGATGAGATATTAAACTGAAGCCCCTTGCTGTCTTCTTCAGGGGATATAAAGTATTAAATGGTACTATCCAAAGTAGAGTGGGGGAGATTTCTTGGTATTCTAACTCCCTCAATCAATACCTGAAACATATATGATTTTGGATGTTTTTTATAATGCACATGGGACATTGATGTGTTTAAATTGGTTGCTGTGTTTCCTACATTGCAACAGTAACTAAATTCCAAAAATACTCATATAATTATTGTTTATAATGTCCTTTAATTGTGCCCTAGGGACTTGAAAATGCTAGAGTGGGAACATACAATGCCTGTCAGAATTTCCATGGTCAGTGGGTATTGTATGGACATTCATTCCATAAGCAAGTAACATAATTTTTACATTAAGATTCTATGATCTTGCTTCATAGAATTTTGTTCAATTATTTACAGTGATGTTCTCCCACTAGGGCTACTTGTGATACCAACTGCTGTCTGATTACACCAGCATTCACATTACAACCGTTACTTGACCAATTAAAGTAGACATTGCAAGGTATACAGAGTGCAGAAGCAGGCCTTGCAGACTAATTGGCCCATGAAGGTGTTTCTGATCTGCACAAACCTTTCCCCATCTGACTTCATGTAGTCCATCAACATATCCTTCTATTCTGTGTCCCTAATGTGCTTCCCCTTGAATGCATTTTTGTTATTCACCTCTACTACTCCTTGGGAGTCCATCTATTAACCATTCTCTGGATAATCAATTTTTCTTCAATATTCTTTTTTGATATCTACGTAAATGTTTAATTTAGCTCCAGATTCTGACATTCCCTTGATGTCTCCTTGGTGTCTATCCTATCAAATACTTTCGTAAACTTTAACACAACTATCAAGCTCTCACTGACAACTTTTCTGAAAAAAAAGCCTCAGCTTGTTTAATTTCTCCTGCTAGGTATCACTTCTCTGTTCTCATATTATACCAACAGATTCTTCTTACACCTATGTCCATATTATGATACGAAGATCAGAACTGTTCATAGTTTTCCATTTGAGATCTAAACATCTGTACAAGCCTAACAATACTTCTCCGCTTTGTAATTCTAACTCTCTAGAAATGATTACCTGGGCTTTTCTTGTTTTTTTTTTATGGCCTTATTAACCTTGTCACTACATTGAGTGACCTGTGTGTCTGTCCCTCAGACTGCTCTGCTACATTTAGACATTTATTTTCCAAAGAGTTGGTGGTACCCTTGTTCTTCCCACCAAATTGTATTATCTCATACTTTTCTGAAGTTCATTTGGTAATTACATGACCTTTCAGAAAGCCTGTTAATATCTTCCCACACGTTGCTGCAGTCCTTTTCTGTATTAACTTTGCTTCCTAATTTGATGTGTGATGGGAATTAAGCAAGATTTCATTTAAAAAGTTCCGACTGGAGTAAGACAACAGAAATTAGGACTGTAAGGCATGTTTTAGCAGGCATGAGCCTTGAACACCTACAGAGTTCACAGAAACAGAAATAACTGGACAGAAACCTTGTGCATCCCAAAGCCTGAATCAGCCATGAAAGCAGACAAGAATGTAACCAGATTCCTGCAGACAGGATAAGAGGAAGATCTGGGACAGAAGATTTCTGTTTACGTACAAGAATGAAATATAAACAATGTATGCATATGTGACTTCAGGGGTTTAAAAGTTGATGGTTTTTTTGTGCATATGGAACAGAGATAGGACAGAGTGGGACAGAGCTAGGCAGAGTCAGACAGAATATCAGACAGAATTCTATTCAGACCATCTAAGACAGAATGCCTCCCTCTGAAGCTGTTGAAAAAATGCAAAATTAACCAGCACTTCTGAATCCATCTATGTTCTACGTGGGAGATTAGCCATATCCATAATATTTAAAATTGTACTTCAGATTCCAGAGTCCAAGCAAAAGAACAGGACAGCACAGGAACAGGCCCTTCGGCCCACGAAACTAGAAAAATGTTGAACCACATTGGTCCCAGTGCTGATTCTGGTTGGATACCATTTATCAACATTTACCAATCCTAATTTGCTATCTATTTTGTTGCTTTTCCCTTGAATAAGTAGAAAGCAGGCTCATGCACAGCAGTTAGATGTGTATGAAAACCCTCCCATTCTGCTCGACACTGCATCAGTGTGATATTTTTCTTTATCCAAGACCAGCAATCCAATAATAATAGCAACATCTTGTATTTATATAATACCTCTAATGTATAATGAAGTGTCCCAAGACATTTCTTAATGGCTTGGCAGATGATGAAATTTGATTTCAATAGTAAGATCTGGAATTAAGAGTCTAATGATGACCATGAAAGCATTGCTGATTGTTGGAAAAATCCATTTGGTTTATTAATGTTTTTGAGGGAAGGAAACTGCTATCCTTACCTAATCTGGCCAACAATGTAGTCAACTCTTAATTGCTCTCTGGGCAATTAGGGATGGACAATAAATGCTGGTCTAGCATGAATGAATTTATTTTTATAAGTATATTTTGATATAATAAGGAACACTGGATGAGCCATGTAAGGAGATATTCGGGCAGTAAATTTGTCGAAGAAGTACACTGTCATGCGTATCGAACGTCCAGTGATTGAGTAATAGCATTTAAAAGAACTACAATACTCACTGCCATCTCAGTGTTTCAGTGTCATGAAATCAGGATGATGGGTGTAGGCTGGATTAACAGTTGTAGTTCTGATCTGTTTGCAGGTTTGGTTACTGGAGATGAATGCCAATCCATCTTTACATAGACACTGTTCAGTTCTCAAATCGCTTATCCCTCAATTAGTCTACGAAGCGCTTGGTAAGATGGTCATTTCAATTACGTTGTTTGAAAAGAAGATTTACAGAAACCACTGATCATTTTCAAACAATGAAATGATGAACAAAAAGTTGTGCATTCAAAAATTTTTCTCTGTCTGTTCTTAGATGTGGTACTTGAGATATTCAAAAAATGTAGTAACGGAGCATACATCTTACCACTTCAGTCACAGAAGGAGTTTGTCCTCATATATAACAATTGCCATCTGTCTCAGATTCCAAGACCATTAAGGGTTGGAAGGACCTCTCCCACAATTTCTAAGCAGTCTTCCCAGCTATGTCCACGTACTTTGAAGCGTCCAGTGAGAAAGTCTTTAAGAAAACCATCAGCGATCACATCTCTATCAGATCATGCTGGTGCTGAAATGAAACCTCTCCAGAAAGCCGTTTCCATGCTATCCCATGGTCAACTACCAGTCATCGCCCAGATACAGAGCTTTTACTGTTCAGAGTCCAAAGCTAAAACCAACCACTTCATAAGAAGCCAGACTGCCTCTTTGGAAGGATGGAGTCAACTGCAAACCAGTGATTCCAAACCAATGCTGATGACTACTCCGTTCATATCTGGACTCAACAAAAGTTTTGCTGCCATTCCGAAAAAGAGCAAGAGCTTGGAATGTAGTCTACTCTCCAAGTAGAACACTTATCTACATCCATCCGTGCTACACCAAATATTGCATGTCAAAATCAGCTGCAATGAAGTCAAGGGAACATCACAGCAAAGTGATCTTTAGCCAGCTATCTTTCCATCAAAAGCAAGGTCAACTCCAATGAAACAACTAGAAGCCCAGCGTTGATGGAAAGTATGCTTGACTGCAAGATGAATGAATAATCAACTAAACTCACTCTGCAGTGTTCCACAATGCAGTTTTGGATGGATCAGGAGAAAGATTTGATAGCGTTCTGCCTGCTGGTTTGTTTTGTCAAATTAAAATCATCCCATTCATGTTGTCCTTTGCTCATGCCCATGTTAGGATAAAGATATTTCTTTCCTATTTTACTTCAACAATTTTGCAGTTCAATCACAAAACGTCAGGATTATTACACAAGAATTTAACATTCCCGATATTTGACTTAATTTCTTACAATATCATTTTATAGAATAACTATGAATAGGCAATACTGTCACATGGCATAATAACCAGTGCACATGGGAGCAAAATGTTCAAAGGCACATTGACAGCTCAAGTGAGGAGCTGAAACTGTGGCAGCTAAGTTCATTGTGGAGCAGTGACACGTTTATTACTTCGGACCTAAGAAAAGTTCATCAGGGTATTTTATAAATTTTAAGAATCTATGAACCTTGCAGGAAAAGATATATTTAGGAGTCTGTATAAAGATTTCACTAAAAACAAGTGGACAGGTACAAATAATAATTAAATGGCTTGAGTAAAATTGTTCCATTGCTTAAGGGGACTGGAATATAAAGGAGTAAATTGCATTACAGTTTTATAAAGTCTGATTCAACCTGTTTATTCATTTGTGGGAATTAAGAACTAACCACTTTGCAGTGGGTCTGATTTTATTTATATTGACCAGAGGAAGGAACAGCAGAATTCCTTTCTGAATGGACATTAGCAAACAATGCAAGTTTTCATGACGTTCCAATAGGCCCCATTACTAAATATAACTTTTTATTTTAGATTGATTTAACTGAATTTACTTTATAGATATTTTTAATCAACCTGTTCAGACATCTCTGGAGTAGATGGGACTAGAACACAGGTCTCCTGTTTCACTTCACTAGACGAAGAAGCAGCGCACCGAAAGCTTGTGATTTCAAATAAAACAGTTGGACTATAACCTGGTATTGTGTGACTTCTGACCTTGTCCTCTCCATGCAAAACCAGCACCTCCACATCCTGTTCCAGTGATGTGACCACTCATTCACAAAGAGCTGGATGGATTTGACATATAAGCTGCAGCCCCATGGCTACTATGGTGGGATCTGAACTAATGTCTCTGGAGTGCTACAGGCCTGTGGATTACTAAACAGTTTGTATTGGATAAAAGTAACCAAAGGATTACTGTACTATGAATACTATAGGAGTACCATGTATAGTTCCAAGTACTGTACCTCTGGGAGGATGACTTAGGATATGGGTTCTCCATGGCCAAATTAGATTGCAGAGACTGGAGTTTCTATTTCCTCAAGTGTAGAAAATTAAGAGGTGAGATACTTGAGGTGTTTAAGATGATGAAATGGTTAATTGGGTAGATAGAAATAAGTTATTTTGTCCAGTGGGGGAGTCCAAAACCAGGGAGGTGCAGCCTTAAAATTAGACTTAAGCTGTTCAAAGATCAGAAAGCACTTTTTTCACACAAACAGTAGGGGAATTCTGAAAGTCTGCTCTGGAGAAGTGTTGAGCATGGAGGCCAATTACAAAATCAAAACTGACACCCCAGTGCAGTACAGAGAGAGTGCTGCACTCTCAGAGGTACAGTCTTTCAGGTTAGATATTAAACTGAGGTCCCTTCTGCTTTCTCAGATTGATTTAACAGACTCTGGGGCACTATACTGAAAGACACACAGGGGTGTTATTCCTGATCAATAGTAACCCTCAGTCACAAGAACAAATATCTGGTCATATTGTGAGGAGCCTTGCTGATTTTTCAATATATTTAGTTTTACTCTTTTATCAATTTTGGTTTGGAGCTATAAACTTGCAGACTTTAGGAAATGACTTGTTGGAAAAAGAAAAGAACAGACTAAGCAAGTTTTGGTGCATTTGTGAGGCCAGGCTTGGAGGTTAATTGCAGGCTGAATCTTGATTAAAATGATTCCTACAGACAGCGGCCCCAGTAAGATAGCACAGGATGGCTATTAATGAGGTCAGTAGCTGGGAATTGGTTTCAGCAAGTCTGAAAGAGACCCTACTGTCAAGCAGATGGCCAATGTTGAATGGTAATTGAGACTTCAGAAGAAGATGGTTAGTTCATCAGGGTGGGAGCAGAGTTGAAGATTTTTTTTGAAGTGTGTTTTCTGAGCAGATGAGTTTGGCTGCTGCTAACAGCATGAAGATTTGAAAACTCCTTGTCTAATCTTCCATCCCTGCTTTCAGAAAGCCAACAAGCAGAAAGCTGAGTTATAGGGTACCTTTACCTGAGTGAACTGAAAAGCAACCACGAAGCCCATATTTATACCTATGAAACAATGCAACATGAAAAATGTTTAAGTAATGTGGTAAGTTTTGATATTTTCTCTTATTCATCCCTAATTGTGTTTACCTCTCTGTCTTTTGTGTGAATGGGGATGAAAACAAATGTTTTGGGCTTAAAGTATAGATCTTATTTAGATTACCTTGTTTCATTTAGAGCTGCCAACTCCCCAGCAGTCACCAGGAATTAAATCTCCCAGACAATACTGCAACTAACCTGGGGCATAACAAAATGCAAATGTGCTGTTTAAAAATAAAATGTGGCTTTTAAAGAAATTCCTTTGAATAGTACTGTTTGGGCATGGGAGAAAAATGAAGAGCCTATTCTCTTTCTCCTTAGTTGGGGAAGGTGTTGCATGTTGGATAACTGAAGTTATTTATATATATGTATGTGTGTATGTGCATGTGTGTCTGTGTGTGTGTGAGAGAGAGAAAATTGGTGAGGAGCTGCAGGAGGTCATGTGATGACACTTTTGGTAAAATCTCCATCCAAACAGTTAGGACGTTTTTTGATCACCGTGTCTAGATTTGTAGTGATTGTAACAAGGTCAGCCAGGTGGATCTCTTAGAATATGAGATGTTAACCTGGTCCAATCAGGGACCCCTAGCTGACAGCTTAAAAAAAACATGAGTGTCAGATATCCCGTTCAGTCTGAAAGCTGGCTCTAAAGGAACTGGATCAGTGTCAAGGACTTGCCACGTGTAAATAAAGAGTGACTTGGTGATGCAATATCGGCTTCTGCGGAATTATTTCAGATGGGTATGACACATCTGAATGTCAACTTTGATTGATGAGGGTAGGGCAGTGTATGTTGTCTACATAGACTTCAGTAAGGCCTTTGACAAGGTCCCTTGTGGTAGACTGATACAGAAGGTAAAGTTGCATGGGGTCAGAAGTGAGCTTGCAAGATGGATAAAAAACTGGCTCGGTCATAGAAAACAGAGGGTAGCAGTGGAAGGGTGCGTTTCTGATTGGAGGGCTTTGACTAGTGATATTCCTCAGCGATCAGTGTTGGGACCTTTGCTATTTGTAATATATATAAATGATTTGGGGAAAATATAACTGGTCTGATTAGTAAGTTTGCTGATGACACAGGTTGGTGGAATTGCAGATAGCAATAAGGACCGTCGGAGGATACAACAGGATAAAGATCGGTTGGTGACTTGGGCAGAGAGATGGCAGATGGAGTTTAATCCAGAAAAATGTGAGGTAATGCATTTCAGAAGGTCTAATCCAGATGGAAATTATACAGTAAATGGCAGAACCCTTAAGAGTACTGATAGGCAGAGGGATCTGTGTGTACAGGTACACAGGTCACTGAAAGTGGCAATGCAGGTGGAAAAGGTAGTCAACAAGGCATACAGCATGCTTGCCTTCATTGGCCGGGTCATTGAGTTTAAAAATTGGCAGCTCATGTTGCAGCTTTATAGAACCTTAGTTAGGCTACATTTGGAATATTGTGTTCAATTCTGGTCGCCACACTACCAGAAGGAATGTGGTGGCTTTGGAGAGGGTACGGAAAAGACTTACCAAGTTGTTGCCTGGTATGGAGGGCATTAACTATGAGGAGAGATTGGAGAAACTTGGGTTGTTCTCACTCAAACGACAGAGGTTGAGAGGCAACCTGATAGAGGTCTACAAGATTATGAAGGGCACGGACAAAGTGGACAGTCAGAAGCTTTTTCCCAGGGTGGAAGAGTCAGTTACCAGGGGTCATGGGTTTAAGGTGCAAGGGGCAAGGTTTAAAGGTGACGTATGAGCCAAGTTTTTTTACACAGAAGGTGGTGGGTGCCTGGAACTCGCTGCCAGGGGAGGTAGTGGAAGCAGATATGATAGTGACTTTTAAAGGGCGTCTTTACAAATACGTGAATAGGATGGGAATAGAGGGATACGGTCTCCAGAAGGGAAGGGAGTTTTAGTTGTGATGGGCAGCATGTTGGTGCAGGCTTGGAGGGCCGAAAGGCCTGTTCCTGTTCTGTAATTTTCTTTGTTCTTGTTCTTATCCCGATGGTAGGTGGCACTGGCTTTAAGATAGAGCCTCAAGGACTCAGCCACCATGGCACAAGACCGTCAACTAGGGTTAGAAAGTCATTATTTTTAATGAATCTCCTCAGACACCTATGTCACAACTCTAGGCATGCTGGTCCCAAAATAGGGACACTACCACTGCACTACAAAAGCAACTCAGCAGAGTGAGCGATATTTTTAATCAATCTGCTCAGACATGTTATGACACACCTCTGGAGGTGATGGGACTTGGACTCATAAGTAGGGACGCTACCATTGCACCATAATAACCCTTCAACCAAACAGTTAGAAACTGAGTGTAATTGGTTTTGTGCCTGTAATTGAAATCCCTGCTAATCAGAATGAATTCAAGTGATACATCATGGTCTTTAAATACCAAATTCTATTTTATTCCATTCTGACAAAGCCATTTAACTATGAGGAATCATTATGTTTTTCTAGCCGCCCAGATCTTGAAGATCAGTTAAGCAGATTAATTTTAACAATCACATACAGGCTGTGGTGTTGGTGCTGACTGGCTCTATGTCTGCAAGTTATTTAGATGTTGGTGTAGTTGTATGGATACATCTTAATGCAAAAGTCAGAGGAGCAAGCACATTGCACCCAATCCCATACTACTCACCAGACAGCCGAGACTAGATTAGAATGGTGGAATGAGTTAGACACTATCCTTGTGCATTCAGCAAATGCGCTCAAATCCAGCTCAGGCTCATAAAATGAAAGTCATTTCTGTTTCTTTGTGTGATTAGCTTGTAGACTCCATTCAGGCTATACTGAATTCTGGATCACAACATAAACCAACACTTGGAAAACCTCAGTGCAAGAGGATGGAGAAATGTTAAGTTGTCAGAGGGGCAGTCTCATATGATTGAAGCTATAATGCTTTGTTGGGACACAGTAAAAGTCAAGCTTGGTGGACTTCTAACTCTGCTTTCCATGTGTTGAATTTGAGGCTGGCACTGTGATGGAATATATCCCCTTATTACAGCTCTAAAATCCCAAATATGGAAAGTTAAGAATAAGCAGTAATAATTTAGTATCATTAAAATTATCCCAAGTAGTAAGTGCCATGCACATCGCCATCAGACAAAAGATAAAGTTTTCAGAAAGTTTGTTTCATGCAAGTCACACCTACTTTGGGAACTTATAACTCTTTACCTCAAGCAATAATATTGTAGTCATTTAATTTGCTTTCCATTCAAAGGCTATTCCAAGCATCTAATGAAAGAAAAAGAGTGTGGTCAACAAGTTTTAGGTTTGAACTCAAAGCAATGGGACCTTGATCAGATGGGCTGATGGGCCAAAGAGTGGCAGATGGAGTTTAATCTAGATAAATGTGAGGTGCTACATTTTGATAGGGGAAATCAGGGCAGAACTTACGCAATTAATTGTAAGGTTCTGGGGAGTGTTGCCAAACAAAGAAACTTTGGAGTGTAGGTTCATAGTTCCTTGAAAGTGGAATCGCAAGTAGAGAGTGGTAAAGAAGGCAATTTTTACTCTTGCCTTTATTGGTCAGTGCATTGAGTATAAGAGTTCAGAGGTCATCTTGCATTGGTACAGGAAATTGATTAGGCCACTTTTGAAATGCTGTATTCAATTCTGGTCTCCCTGCTATAGCATGAATGTTGTTAAGCTTGAAAGGGTTCAGAAAAGATTTACAAGGTTGTTGGCAGGTTTGGAGGGTTTGAGAGGCTGAATAGGCTGGAGCAATTTTCCCTGGAACGTCAGAGGCTGAGGGGTAACGTTATAGAAGTTTATAACATCATGAGGGGTATGGATAGGATAAATAGCCAAGTTCTTTTCCCTGGGGTGGGGGAGTCTAAAACTAGAGGGCATAGGCTTAAGGTGAGAGGGGAAAGATTTAAAAGGGACCTAAGCGGCAACTTTTTCATACAGAGGGTGGTGTGTGTATGAAATAAACTGCCACAGGAAGTGGTGGAGGGGCTTACAATTACAACATTTATAAGGTATCTGGATGGATATGTGAATAGGAAGGGTTTACAGGGATGTGGATCAAATGCTGGCAAATGGGACTAGATTAATTTAGAATATCTGGTCGGCATGGACGAATTGGACTTAAAGCTCTGTTTCCGTGCTGTACATCTCTATGGCTCTATAAATGATTCACAGGTTCATTAAAACAACTGGGGTACTGTAGTTTCTTGGAATCGGCAGTGTTCTTAAAATTCTTGATGTCATTATTTCACTTCCTTTCTCTACTCTACAATATATTCACTCTGCAATCATTTGCTTCTTCTTACTGTGCCATTTTTAAACTTGTTGTCTTCTAATGGCCAGTTCTTGTGAAAGTGAGGTGCTTGATCAAATACTTATGTTTTCATCATTTTTGTGTATCACATCTGAAGAAGAAACATTGGCATTTATTAAGCACCTTTCACAACTGAAGAAATTCAAAAGCTAATGAAGTACCTTTGATGGATGTTGGTGTAATGTAGGAATATGCCTCCCACAAATAATAACGTGATAGTCACCATATGATTTGTTTTTGTGGGGGAATATGGGGATTGCTGGCAAGTCCAGTAAGCGTTACCAATTCTAATTGATCTTGGACAGATTTACTTGCTAAACCACTCAGAAGGAAATAACAGATGAAGCCACATATAGGGCGAACGAAGTAAAGATGACAGATTTCCTTCTCTAAAGGGAAGTTTTCAGTACTGGGGGAATGTAAGCAATAGTTTAGAAAATATTAAGAGAACACAAAGTTATAGTTCACCAATGTTCCAGTGTGTGTTGACATTTCCTCTACCAAGACATTTTGAAATTGCAAAAGAATTGAGAAATTCGAACGCAATTTCAAATCTCCTCCATTATCGGAGCGAAACATCAACATAGCTTAATCAGTTTTGGAATAGTCACAGCAATTGAGGAACTTTGATTAAACAGCTTGATTGGTAAACTGGCGATTTCAGACAATCCATCAGACAAAGTCTCAATCGAAGGCAAGTCGTGGGCTTCTCTAATTTTTTGCCAAGAGTAACAAACTCAGCTACCGTGTCCCCTGAGAGCTAATTTCAAAAATGTTATTGCCCCCTTCTCTTTAGGGACAAAAAGAAGGAAGAAAGGCACCTTGCACAATCTTAAAACATTCCAAACTGTCTAAAGCCAAATAAATATTTCTGAAGTGTTGCCCAATCAACAACAAATTTGCAAACTGCAAACTCCCACAAATAATATTGGGGTGATGAGCAGATAACCTCATTTCTTGTAGTGGAGATTGAAGAAAAACAACATCAACTAGGTTTCCATGGGAAACACCCATGGTCTTCTTTGGAGTAGCATCATGAGATCTTTCACACCACCTCCTTGGCTCACCTCAAAGCTCTTGTTGAAATGATGACTGTTATAGGTAATTCTTTAGTTTACACCTTGCAGAGGAAATCTACAGATATTCACCAAACACACCAATAAGTCAGAAGGCCTTGGGTTCAAGGCACTCCAATGAATCAAGCACGTAATTCAGGTTGAGACTCCAGTGCGGCACAGAGAGTGCACTTTTAGAATTGCTGCCTTTTGGATGAGGATTTAAACCAAAGACATACCTACCCACCCGATCAAATTGATGCAAATAAAATCCCTAGGTGCTATTTCAAGGGGCGTTATGTTCTTTGATGTCCAGGGTACTATCTGAACATTAAAACAGATGATTTGGTCTTTACGTCATTGCAATTTTGTGGGATTGTGCTTTGTCTAATTTAGATGTTGAGTTTTATTTATTAAAACAGTGACTACACTCCAAAAGTACTGAATAGGCAATACATTGCTTTATGACAGTGTAAGAGCTGGAAAGGTGCTATGTAAATGAAAGCCTTTCTTTTCTTCTGCCTGCATTTGACATGACAAAAAAAAAATGCAGGGTTACAAAAGACCTTTGGTTAACTTAATACTGAACTGAGTACCCACATGAAGCTTGTGAAAATAACAAAGGTTATTGCTTCATGGATTTGTACAGGAAGTTGAAGACGCAAGGAGAACTCAAGATTTATGCGCACAGGAAGTAGTGCAGTTTGATAAATTCACCGCATCCCCCCATGTTTGGGCTAGATAATAATGCCTAATACTTGGGGTTTTGGACTGATTGCTACCTTTCCAATCAAGGGAAAGAAACTTTACTGTTTAAAAAATATTTTTGTTTTTAGTACTTCACAGTGTATACTTCCTGATCGCCATTAGTGACGCACCATGCGAAGCAAGATGTTTATGTGGAAAATTTATGATGTCTGAGAGTTAACATGACTGCCTAGCCAGTGGGCTTAAGCAGGTGTGGTTTACAATATGGGCTGCACCATCGTTACCCCTCGATGCTGCATAGCAGCCAATGAGCAAGAACATCAGGACTTGGTACAAATACCAAGCACAAGGTACGTACTGGGATTCTTTCGATAATCAACTACCAGCCATTGTGATTGTATCGTTCTGTGACTGTGACCTTTGAAGTGATGCGTGGCCTATTCGGGAATGAGTAGTCATTTTGAGTGGTCCAGCTACTTAAACAAAAAATTCACATTCTAAATGTTCATAATAAAAATGTGAAAATAAGTTCCAAACAAGCCATTGCATAACTCAGTGAATATAACCTCTAGTGTTTTGGTCTGATACAAAAAGCATTGCAGCATTTCGCCTGTGGTGTGAATGTACTATCTAGTTTAGAACAGCAAAATGCAGAGCCAGAAAGTGCTGTATATGACCCTCTGGTGAATGTCAAGCCAACTGATCTCAATCACAAAACCATAAGATGTAGGAGCAGTAGACCATTTGGCTCGGTGTGTTTTGCCAGTCAGTGAGATCATAGCTGATCTGGTAGCCCTACATCCACTTTTCTGTATTTTCTTATGACTATTGAATCCCTTATTGATTAAAAATCAGCATCAGTCTCAAAGATACTAATGAAACATCCTCCACTGTCCTCCATAGTAAAGGATACTAAAGATTCAAAAACCTCTGAGAGAAGAAATTCCTACAAAATGATAATCCCAACAAGACCCATGTGAATCACTCATTAATCTTCTTGTTGAGCATGAGTTCTCCTGGTACCAGGCAATGGCCTGCCCAGTTGGAGCTCATCACCTGAGCCCTTTATACAGCAGACCCAGGGATGAGCCTGCAGAACTGTCCACCCCTAGCTGGAACTAGTCTATGTATGCTATGAATAGTGGCTCTATTTTGGTGTTTGTAGTGATTGGAATGAGATCAGCCAGGTGGATCTTGTAGAGTGAGTTCCCTGATTTGGGCTGTTAACCTGGTCCAATCAGGGATGCCTGGCTGACAGATATAAACAGGAGTGTCATGGGTTCTGCTCACTTTAGGAACTGGCTCTGAACTAGCTGCTTCAGAGTCACATACTATTAATGTGTAAATACAGGGTGACTTCAAGATGGGATACTGGCCTTCATGGAGTTATTTCAGTGGTGACGAGAGAAAAACATGATCCAGAAGGGATTCACTCTGAACAGTTAGCTTTGAGTTGGAGTAAACATTTCTGGCATCATGCCAATATTTGGGAAGCTTGACCCACTCAGTCCTGCCATTGAAGACTGGGCCCAATATATAGAAAGAATTGGTTATTTTTTCTGGTCAAATGACATTGTGGCAAATGAAAAACAATGAGTAATTCCCCTGACAGCATATGGACCCACAGCTTTTTCCGTTATTAGGAGCCTTATTTTCACTAAGGCACCACATATTAAAACCTTTCAAGAGATGACAGATTTAGTTAAGGCATATTATGACCCCCAAGCCTCTTCTGATTTTGAGATGCTAACAGCTTCACATGGCAGTTTAGGAACCAGGGGAATTGGTGTTGGGATTTTTGCCCAACTGGACTTCAAACAGGCACTACAATGAGCTTTGTTAGAAAATGAGCCAAGTGGAGCTTATGAGTTGCACAAGTTGTGATGAAGGTGGACACACTCGCCAGGCTGATAGAGCTCGGGGGACACCACGTGAGTGAAGGCAATTACATAGCCTCACTCAGGACATAACCTGAACACAGGGACTCTGGGTCAGCGCACAGCAAAACCCCAAAACAAGGACAAGCCTTGGCCAAATGGTTAAATTTTTCTTGAGGATTTGGGCTGGCAGGCTATTGTAGCTGCTGCCACTATGCAGACTCAAGACAGCAAAAGCATGCCAATAGGCTTGAATTGAGTAAAAGAACTCATAGGCCAGTATCCAGAAGAGTGCACACCCTGGAAAGTCCACCTACAGCTGGTTTGGAACCGTTTAATTGCTCAGCAACATTCAAATCAGAACCAATCAAACATCTGGTTAAATGGTCACCTGGTTCTAATGGAGGTTGATACCAGTGTTCCTGCATTGATTGTGGAACCAGTCTTTACCAAAATTTGCTTTGGACTACAACCCTTAAGTTTGCGTAAGACCTCGAACAAGGCTGAGAACCTACACCAAGGAGCCTTTACAGATTAAAGGTACACCTTCGGTTTCAGTCTCCTATGAGAAACCATTAGTTATAGTTCCCAATGATTGTAGTAAAAGGTTCAGGGCCAAGCTTGTTAGGGTGAAATTGGTTGAGAAAGATTCAACGCGATCGGCTCAACATTTTTCAATTAGAAATTTGCTACCTGAGTGAAGTCCTAATTAAATACCTGGAAGTTTTTCAGGGACGATCAAAGTGGCCAAGGCCAGCTTGCATGTTGACCAGGAAGCAATTCCACGATTTGCAGGGGCCATTCAGTGCCATTTGCCTTATGCGCAAAAGTAGAGGCAGAAATCAGGAGGCTGGAAAGTGAAGGAATCATCAAATCGGCCCAGTTTGCAGAATGGACAGCAATGGTTGTACCGATTGTGAAGTCTGATGAATCGGTTTGCCTTTTTGGGGATTTTAAACCAATGGTAAACCGCTTTTCGTAGCAGGATAAATACCCGATCCCTTGCATAGAGGATTTGTTCACAAAGCTGGCAGGGGAGCTGTCCTTCATGAAGCTGGACATGAGCCATGCATATCTGCAATTATGGTTGGATGAGGATTCCCAGAAGTATGCCACAGTGAATACCCATAAGAGTTTGTACCAATATATGAGACTGCCATACGGGGCATATTTTCCAGTGGAAGATGACGAACATTTTACAAAGTCTACCCAAGGTCACTGTTTATCAGGATGAGGTGCTAATAACCAGGAAGACCAATAAATAGCATTTAGAGAACTTGGATATAGTACTTAAATGTTTCTCTAAGGCAGGAGGGAAAAATATCTGTTTCAGGCAGCCCAGGTGACCTACCTGGGCTATAGAGTCAACAAGACTGTTACACCCACTGGAAGATACAGTGTGGGCAATCAAAGGTGCCCTAGCTGCTACGTCTGCACCAGTGTCTCAGCCTTTCCTTGGGTTGGTGAATTATTATGGAAAATTCATATGTAACCTGGTCCCCATCCTGACACCCTTACACCTGCTATTGAAAAAGGGTCAGCCTTGGGAATGGTCTCGTAGCCAAGATATAGCCTTTAGGGAAGTGAAGTCATTGTCTAAGGTGTTGGCACACCTACAATCGCAAGCAAGGTGTGGTACTGATGCCTCCCCAAACATATTCAGGGTATTGTTGGCTCTCAGGTGGCCCAGTGGACAGGAACATCTGACAGCATATGTTTCCTGGACTTTGGATGATGCCGAGTGAACATACGCCCAAATAGAGAAGGAAGGTTTGGCTCTCATTTTTGGTGCGACAGCATTCCAACAATACCTTTATGGATATACATTTTAAATGGTAATGGACCACATATCCCTGCTAGTGCTGCCTACAGAGGACAGGACCCCACCACCCATAGTTTCAGGCCGAATTCAGCGGTGGGCTGTTGTTCTGAGTGAATACAATTACAAGTTGGAACACCATCTGGGAGGCCAAGTGGAAAATGTAGGTGCCTTGAGTGACGGATATACCAACGGTCGTCATGCCACTAGAAGAGTCCATTCTGCACCCTCTTCTGGTCACCACTGACAATATCAGACTGCAGACACAAAAAGATCCCATCCTGGCAAAACTAAAACAGCTGGTGGTCATGGGGGAAACAAAAAGGCCTTCACAATCAGAATTGAAAGCCTTCTGGATCTGATGAGACCAGATCACCATAGGGGACAACATTTTATTTCAGGGGAGAAAGAGTGATCGTCCCAAATAAAGGGCACCACCAGATACTCACTGAACTCTACCAGGGTCATCCAAGGCACCATAAATGAAGATGTTAGCGAGAAGTTATGTTTCGTGGCCGGGATTGGATGCAGGCATAGCCACGTTGGTGGGGCAATGCCCAGAGTGCCAACATAGAGAAAAATTGACACCAGCAGCTCCCCCACATTTGTGGGAATGACTCGGTTACATATTGACTACGCTGGTCCTTTCATGGGCTCTATGTTTTTGTCATTGTGGATGCCAATTCAAAATGATTGGGAGTACATTGAGTTCATTCTTCAAATAAGGGAACAACAATTAAAAAGTTACAAGCATTTTTTCAATATACGGACTCCCAGAGGTATTCGGCACTGGCCATCATTTACCAGCAGGGAATTCGAGTATTTCCTAATATCCCTAGTCTACATGAAGATGAAAGTTACCCATGATATAATGTCCTGCCTATTCTACGTTCCTTCATCTCCTGATATCTTCTCTGACCAACCATACAGCAACTGTTAAAGGGCCTATAGATACCCCAGTATCTTTTTCCCTTGATATTTCTTACCTCGACCCATAGGGATCCTGCACCTTTTAATCCAACATAATTTCTTGCTATCATACTTGTTCTATAGAATACTAACAAAGCTACTCTGCCCTTCTTGCCTGTCCATTCAAAAAGTCATATATCCTGAATATTTACTACCCAGCTTTGACTGTACAATTTTTCTTTCCTTTATTCATTCATGGAACAAAGGTGTCACTGTCTAGGCAGCATTTATTGCCCATCCCTAATTGCCCAGAGGGCAGTTAAGAGTCAACCACATTGCTGTGGGTCTGGAGTCACGTGGAGGCCAGACCAGGTAAGGATGGCAGTTTCCTTCCCTAAAGGACATTAGTGAACCAGATGGGTTTTTCCCCGACAACTGACAATGGATTCACGGTCATCATTAGACTGTTAATTCCAGATATTTATTGAATTCAAATTCCACCATCTGCTATAGCAGGATTCGAACCCAGGTCCCCAGAACATTATCTGGGTCTCTGGATTAACAGTTCAGCGATAATACCACTGGCCATTGCCTATTAACCGCTATTTATGCTGTTAATTTAATTTTTTATTTTATTTTGATCCAAATTCTATGTGTATTCAAGTGAAGAGCCATTAATTTTGCTTTAATACATTTTGCACTTTGACCTTTTGCTGCTTATTTTCCATGTTTATATACTCTGTCC